TATGGAATGTATGGAAACCCTTACGAAAGACCATTTGACCCATTGACTGGTGGAAGTAATTGGTATCATTACGGACGAAGAAGAAAGACAGTTAAGCTGGAGACAGACGTGAAGAAAGCAACTAAAAAGAAACCAAGGAAGAGAGTTATAAAGTAATGAATTCAAGTGGGTGAAAAAAGAGGTGAAAAAAGAGGTGAGATCTCACCACTTCACCTAAATTTATTTTTTCACCTCTGACAACGTTTATTTTTAAGTTTATTTTATTATTTAGCGAGAACGTTTATTTTTTATTTTATTTTTATATAAATGACGAAAACTATTGAGATAACAAACTACAACGGTCATGAGTTCAAGAACTTGTTCTTCGTTCCTCGTGAAAATACATTCTATCAGATACGAGGGAGAAAGGGTAAAGTTAGTTTGAGCGTTTATGAAGGAATGAAGAATGGAAAGTTTATACAAGCATACGATACAAACGGTAAGCGTGTTTCATTAGCTTTGTCAAAACTTACTAACATTTATTTTGACAGTGATTTTGACCTATATGAAGAAGAAAGTGAGTCAGAAGATTATGAGCTGTTATGTGAAGCACAGCAATGGGAGGAGTTGCAATACTTTTGTAAGTGAGAACGTTTATTTTTTACATTAGTGAAGTCGTTTGTGAAAACGTTTATTTTTTCATTAATGAGGTGAAGTGGTTGGCGGCTTTATAAATATTTAAGGTTAAGTTGGTGTTTGTGTTTGTGTTGTAAAAATATATGTTAATGGTTTCGTAAAGTGTCAAATTCACAAGTCTTGGGTAAAGTGGAACGCAGTGCCGCAGTACACAACTTAGGTATACTAACTTCAGTAGATGCCATGCCTCATTATGAACTCTACTGACAAGAGATCAAGAGCTCCAAGGACTCCCTTTTTAGTTAGTGGCGTTCTCACCATTTAGTAGGATTGCTGATCCTACTAATGAAGTGATCACTTAGTATACGTTTTGAATAAATTGAATTTTTTTTTAGAATTTAGTATTTTTTATAGACATCACATGTATATTATAAATACATAAATATATTCTTTAATTCAAAAAATTCAATTCGGTGTTGGGATGGGTATCCCAGCCCCAAGTATTCAATTTTATTCAATTTTTTAAGAATTTTGGGTTGGGATGCCCAGACCAAAACAAGCTTTATATTTTGATGTGTAGATACGTATGTGTGCATCATTGTTGTGTTATATATTATGTTTTTAATGAAAAAAAATCTGATTCAAAAAAAATTATCACTGTAATAAACAGAAATTCATCAAAAGTGACGGCTCTCAATTTTTTGACATTTGTAAATTCTAAATTGAATGAGAAAAATGAAATAATACTAAGCATAATACAATATTCTAGATTTTATTATAATTAGGAAAAAGTTAGTTTTGAGAGTACTTTTCATAGGCATATAGAATGAAATCTTCTGAAAAATAATATCACATAAACTCATATTATTTTCTAATATATAACTATTTTATATAAAAATCAAATTCAATGATCTTAAAAGCGAATGATAAACCTCAAAATTTACGAATATAATGAGTGGGAATATAATGCTTATCTATCATAAACCATATGAAATATCAATTTTTGCTTTACGCCTAATTTTTGACGACAATTAGCAAAAAATGTTAAATGTTAACACTCAGTCCATTTGAATATGAAAAATAAAATTGACTTTGATTAAATGTTTTTATTTATCATGCAATTCTTCTTGCGACCAAAGATTTGAATAAAATTTCAAAAAATAAGATAGCTTAAAAATAATATACGGTAGTGTTTACTAATAGATGAATAGTATATAAATTCTATTAAAATGGATTTGATCCAAAAAATATATAAAATTTGATCATAAATAAAATCGTTTTAAATTACTTCTTCATTTAAATTATAACAATTATTTTTGGTTTTATATTTTTTGGGATCAAAATCCATTTTAATAGAATTATATACTATTCATCTATTAGTAAACACTACCGTATATTATTTTTTAAGCTATCTTTTTTTTTTGAAATTTTATTCAAATCTTTGGTCGCAAGAAGAATTGCATGATAAATAAAAACATTTAATCAAAGTCAATTTTATTTTTCATATTCAAATGGACTGAGTGTTAACATTTAACATTTTTTGCTAATTGTCGTCAAAAATTAGGCGTAAAGCAAAAATTGATATTTCATATGGTTTATGATAGATAAGCATTATATTCCCACTCATTATATTCGTAAATTTTGAGGTTTATCATTCGCTTTTAAGATCATTGAATTTGATTTTTATATAAAATAGTTATATATTAGAAAATAATATGAGTTTATGTGATATTATTTTTCAGAAGATTTTGTGTTCTTCTTCAAAATTTTATTTTTTAATTAAAAAAAATCTTTACAAAATATACATTTACTTTAATTAATATTTAAAAACGTGCTCTATCAAAAGTTCCAAAAATTCAATATTTTAGCTTTTCTGAGGTGTCACTTTTGATGAATTTCTGTTTACAACATCACTAATTAGTTGATAATATAAAGAAAAAATAGATAAATTGTATGTTTTGAGAGTATTTATCCACATTCACTCATATGAATTTCATTAAATAGTGTCTTTTTACTCCCAAATTTATTTTGAATTATTGAAATCAAAGAAAAAAATCAGAAAAATTTCTCGAAATTTTTATTTTCAAAAAAAAATTGGATTTTATATTGAAAACTGACACTGGGAGGATGATAGGGCTGGGATTGGAGATACCCCCCTCACTTGGGAAAAATACGGATCTATAATTTTTATCATCCGCGACGTGACGAATACATTTTAATTTACTCAAGAATGCGTACCCTGATACATTAAATCTAATTCCTGTCTTATTTAATTTCACAACTTTGAAAAGGAATGTATGAATAGCTATAAAATGATGAGAAGATGTTTTATGGGTTGCTTCCATTTTTTCTGAAATAAATGAATAAATATAATGTTTATAAGTTTTCATATCTTTTATGTTCTTAATAACGAATGGTATAGACCTTTCCACTTCGTCTTCCTTCGGTGCTGTTCTTTCATATGAAACATTATTAGTATCTTCAATAATGAAACCACAATCACACAAAATTTTATATGTTCCAATGGTTTCTTTTGATATTTTATCTAATAAATCAAAAACTTTATCAACACCTGTGCATTTATTTAAATAATAATTTGTGTAAATATCATGATCTTCTTTCTTAATCATATTAGTTGCATATGTCACGTTTTTAAGAGCTTTTTTGAATTTTTCGGAATCTAAAGGTGGTGAAAGTAGGATACAGGGGTATTCTTCATTATCAATAAATTGTAACTTATGTTTACGAATAAATTTAGTACCTTCTTCTGAAAGTGTTTCGTCTATTTCACCATCTAATAAATTTTGTGTTGATTCTGAGACATAATTTTTATATCTTTCTTCATGAGATTTCTGAACTTCTGATTCTGAAGCTGGGATATTCATTAAACCCTCTACTTCATTTTCATTATATTTTTCAACTTCTCTTAATTCCTTAATTTTTTCATCTATTTCATCTCTTATTTTTTTCAGTCTTTCAATTTCATTGTATTCATCATCTTTAATCCGTTCTTCATAATATTCAGGGAAAACATCAGGTTCTTTAGGTTTTTCTTCTTCAGATGTGGGATATAAGAAATTTATAACATCATCTTTATTCATTTTTCCATCATAATCTAAATCATTTAATAACTCGGCAAATTTTTGACAATTTCTTAAATAATATTTATCAACTTCATAACCCACCTCCTCTAATATATCCTTTATTTCCTCGTTTGTGAATCCTAATTTTTTAACGTTGTTAGTTTTGACGCTCATTTCATACAAAATAAAAAATAAAATAATAAACATAACTAAGTTTTAATTTTTCGTAAGACATTAATTTTTAAAGTTTATTTTTTAAAAAATTTTATTTTTTATTTCATTATGGTAGTGAATCTTTCATTCATGAAAATAATTATTTCTAATTTCTTTTATTCTCTCGTACATACTAGATTTAAAGAATTCAGAACATTTCCCATAATCTCCTAAATGTTTTCTTATCCCTAACGTGTGCCAGTTATTATATGAAACTGAATAAACTTTATCATTATCTTTACACCTTTCATTACTTCCAATATATTTATATTTCAATTTTGATTTAGCATTTTCATATTCATTAGCGTTTAATAATTCACAGTCTTCCTTTTTAAATAAATGTTTTATGTATTCAGGATTTAATACTCTACGTTTATATGCTCCTAACTTAGTTCTAAAGGTTTTTCTACAAAATTTAGGAATTCCATCCTCTTTAATGTCATCAATGATTTCCATTTCATTATTTTCAATTTCTTCTTCTCGTTTATGAGGTCTTTGATTATGACTCCATTGATTCCATGAAATTAAATATTCTTTATCATTATATTTATACCTCATTAGCTTATTTTGGCTTTCATATTCATTTAATAATTCACAATCTTCATTTTTAAATTGAAGTTTAACCCATTCAGGATTTAAACAATGTTTAATTAATCGCGGAATATCTGACATCATCTATATATAGCTTCTTTTATAAAAGATAAAAAAAAAAAATATTTTAAAATTAATGTTAATTTATTAATGATTTATAAATAAATATATATTTTAATGCATCGTCTATATATAGATGTAACAAAAAAAGTCACTAAACCCGTCATATCCTACTACTTATTTTCCATGATTGGTCACATAGGTTTTTTCTATATGGAGGATACTTTGTTGTAAACCAGGCAATTTGGTTTAACCATTAACGAAAATACCTTTAACTTATTTTGATTTCAAACCATTTCTGCTATTTAAGGTTTGCTCACTTCATAATCGCTAATATTTTTAGATGAAACAGACAAATAATAAGTATCTTCCACTATTTGTTTCATATTTGGAACAATGAAAAATAGAAAATAGCAATAAAACTAAAAATTTCAATATTTACTTAACATATACCTTAAGAACAGTAGTTGGAAGTCCCCATCTTGGAGAATCTCCGTAATGTTTAACAGCTGATGCATCTCCTGAGCAGAAATATTGATTTGTAATATCCTTTGGATTCAGATCTATAATATCTTGAGGAAGAGGAGGATATCCTTCCATATTCTTCTTAAATAATGGGAACGGGAAGTAATGAATTGGAATTCCAGGAACAATTTTCATGAATTTGGCGAATGACGCTATATCAAGCTTATCATTAAATGGATACTCATTGTATCCAGATATAGCATACCATAATTCTTTTGATGCCAATGTGAAAAACAAAGAATCACAGCCAATATCTTTATCTGTGTCTATATTACCTTTGATAATATAAAAGCCCTTGCGATGCAAGCATTGGTTTTCAAAGTCATCAAGTGAATGAGTGAAAGATTCTTCAGCTAATCTGATTAAATCATTTTCAGGCATAGATCCGTTCTCCTGGTAGATATTTCCTCTATAAACTACACCTTTGTTGAACCAATTCCGTGCCAAAATATCGAAAAAGGTAATCGGCAATATGACGGTCGGATCCGAAATTAAAACAAAGTCTCCAAAAGCTCTTCTTATGCCGATATTCTTGGCAAGGAACTCAGGGTAGTGAGATCCATCGTATTTATCTGTCGGTCCTTCGATGATTCTCACCTTTCCTTGAAGACTCTTCGGCGCCCGTAAATTAAGGTTAAACTGGTAATTTTCCCCTTTTTTAGGAATTTCGACGATAACGATTTCACATGAAGCTTCTGGAACTAAATCTAGCATTTTTCCAACGGAATTGATATATTTTTGCAAGAATTCCGTGAACTTACCTTTCATCATGTCTGCAGCACCTGTTAAGACAATAGAAAGGTATGGTTTTACCTGTGAATACTTTGTACTTCCATCTGGAATTTGAGAAAGCTGAGATTTGAAGGTTTTAAGTAGATCTGTTTTAGTTGATCCGATTGTGACATGTTCTCCTTGTATAGAAGTTGGCATGACGTCCCAAATTCCTTTAACATATGAAATTTCGCATTCTGAAGGTAATAATTCGGAGAACAATGATACTGCATCTTTAAATGATACCTTTAGTTTCGAATTTATTGTTACAACTGTAGTTCCTTGTGGTTTTGCGTTAACTTTGAAAATTTCTTCTGCAGCTTCATCAGAATGAACAGCCAGAACTGGATAATCGTTAGTGTAGATTGTTGTCTTGCTCTTGTGAGCGCAATCTTGATACATTTTGACAAATGGATTGCCTAAATCAGAAAATTGAGTAATATCAGGGATATGTGATATAAAAACAATGTTAGCGTGATACCATTGCACTGTTTCTATATGCTGTAAAAAGAAAGGTGGTGTAATTACGACAGTTGTTGGAATCCTTTTGTTATTTGAGTATTGAAGAACACGCTGAAGGAAATTAATGAAAGAGGCTTGATAGTATGTATTTGATGATGTGTGATTCGATGTTGGGAATGGTACATGACATGAAATGAAAATTTGAGAAATTGAAAAATTGTGGAATATTCCTGTTTCTACAGCAGATGTAAAGCCTGCATCGAATGGATTCTCAATTTCGACAACAGCTATATGATTTCGCTTGCAATGACGTACTAGAGCAGCTCCAATAGTTGTTTTTGAGCCTACAATGAGAGTGTATTTGAGAGAGCTATGCTTCGGATGATTTGGTGGGATATGGAATAAACGAAGGAACTCGCTCGTGTATTTTGCTCGATTAATGCAATTTTGAACATTTGAAAAAACTTCTGGGAATTTAAATGCTGCTGAAGTGTTTGTATTATAACGTGGAGGTACTACAATTTCATTGATATCGCCATAGTATGGTGGTGGTTGAGAAATTTCACGGATACGTAAGAATTTCAGAAGCAAAAGAGACGATATAGCAAAAGAAACAACTGCAACTAATGGAAGTTTGTTCTTTCTGTAAAATACTGACAAGTAAAGCACTATGTTTTTATACATCCGAAAACAATCACAACGCTTTCTTCTTTTTGAACATTTTTTAGTTTAAATAGAATACTTCGGTATATAGTGAATATATTTTATAATATTTTAATTTCAGCTTCATAAAAAAAACTTTTTTTTGACATAAAAAAATGGAAAAAGAAATTGAAGCTGAAGAAAATATGGGAAAAAAATTTCAAATAGATGAAGATGTTCAAAAGTTACTATCTGAGCCCTTACCAGATTTCCGGCTTGCAGTTAAGGTATTGGACAAGTACTATGAATTTATTTCATCTAAACATAGAGAAAATAATTATAAATTCGTTACATCATTTCCATATGTAGATGCATTGGGAAATATTGAACACATAGCAGATAAATTTAAAGAATTCGAATCAGAAAATCTTAAAATTTCAATTGATAATTTAACAAGTCAATTAGCCGTATATTTTAACACTTTTAAAGAATCAAATTCTGAAAGTAATACTCAGATGTTTGAAAAAGCTCGCTCACTTCATCTTGAATTTTTCGATCAGTTTATTTTATTTAGAAATCAATTTAAGAGCAAAGTACCGGAACGTAGTGATGTATTTTACTTATCATCAATACCTATTGTTATTATTATCCTATTCATATCAGTTATTTTATTTATTTTCTTTTGTATATAAATTATAGATTTTATGATTCATTCAATAATGATATCAGACTTATATTTTTATACTTATGGTTGCTAATTTTTTACAATTTTTTAAATAATTTTGTAAATCTGAGCTAAATAACAAATATTGGAGTTTAAAATGGAACCATATACAAGGTTAGATGAGAATACACAGTAATAATGACCATATGAAAAAATCGGGTATATCTTCATAAAAAGATCGATTTCCTAAATTTATTCTTCTAATATCAGTAAAATCAACTTATAATATGTCAATTTATCAAGAATGACTCTCATTCAAAAAATTGGACAATCTCAAGTTCTTGAATTATGATCATAAATATTTAAAGCAGTTGCTTAATAAACAAATCATAATTCTAATTGTCAATTGCTAGCTGTACCAATGATTCTTGTCAAGGAATTTGTTATAAAGTCATCTTTGTATTATGAGTTGATTCTTATATCGAACCTTCATTCGATATGTGTGAAAATGGCGGTTTCTCGCAAACAGATGGCATCGTGATTTTCCCAAATAGTTAAATTCCCGGAGAATCGTTGAGATTTTTAGATACAAGTTATTGTTAACATAAATTATTCTTTATATTAATATGTTGATTATTAAATTAAATTTTAATCAGATTCTTGAGATTTTCATGATTTTAATTCGAAAAAGCTAATCAACATATCATATATATCTTTGCTATGCATGCGGTTATATTTTACAATAAAATCGATCATCGTATTTTTTGAGAATAAAATTTCAATAACATTCAAAATATTTGAATTAAAATTCAATTCAAATTGATTGAAGTCCGTCCAAATCTCTAAGCTTGCTTACAATTATCTTTTAGGCAAATTAACAAAGCGATATTTTTTATAGCTTATACATTTCGCTTTGAATTGTTATTAAAACAAATTTGGAGGTTATGACTTCACTTTGCTTTCGTTGGTGAGTGCATGGCTCGTAATCGTTATACATTCTTTGCTGAAGTCGCCAAGAAACAAGGTTACGAACAAATTGCTAATATATTCATCGAAACAGCCGAGAATGAGAAAGTTCACGCAGACTACTTCTGGAGCTTGATCAAAGGTCTTGGCTCTGTCAAGATTGAAATGGAGGTTCCAGAATATGGTGTGAATGACACACTTACAAACCTTCGTAATGCTGCAGCTGGTGAATACGCCGAGCACACATCAGAATACCCGCATTTCGCAGATGTTGCAGAGAAGGAAGGTTTTCCTAAAATTGCTAATTCTTTCTGTGGAATTGCCACAGTAGAAAAAGAACACGAAATGCGCTTCAATACACTTGCCAAGCAAGTTGAAACATCATCTGTCTTCAAGCGCGAGACAGTTGTTGCATGGAAGTGCCGCTATTGTGGTGCAATTGTAAGAGCTAAAGAAACTCCAGAGAGATGTCCAGTTTGCTTCAAGCCACAGGGCTTCTTCGAAATTAAGGAAACTATTTAATAAACATTTGCTAATTAACAATTGATATAATATATGAATGGACAATATATGGTCATTTCACGCTTTGTTTAACATAATTCAACTTTTTCAGCCAAACTTCATAAATATTTTATGACTTTGAATTTCAAAAACTTTCATGACTAAGAAATAATATTTTACTTTATTATCTTATCTATTCGATGACGGAGTATTATGATTATTCTATAATTGCAGTATGTTCGAACTTCATATTGAAAGAATAGAAGATCTATATTTCAAATTGCAAGCGACTTCTGGATATCGAAACAAAACTTAATCAAACTTTCAATATTCAAGAAAGGAGATCAATAAGTAATCACATCCACATGAACTAAACTATATAATAAATCTACTCATATTGAATAATAGAAAAATAATTACCCAGATTTTCCATACATTTACCATCCCTGTAAGGCTGAGGACACAGCCTATCGTTTAAAAAACAATTAAATGGCTCCGAGGATGGATTTTTTGGAGTTTGAATCGTAGTGTAGTCTGTAAATGTATAAATTCAAAAATATTTTTAAAATTCGAGGATTAATGTATATCACTTACTACTTTTTGACATCCTATCAAGAAGATCAATACAAATATGAAGGGTCACAGAAAATAATACTATTTGAAATGATGTCAGAAAGTAGAGTAGTATAAGCTTCTCTCCAATGTAAATGATTCTTACAATTTTCCATAGAATTTAAGATACCAATCACCTTATGTAGCCAGTTCCATGACAACAGCAAACACATCATAAATGAATATTATATGTATGAAAGTTTTTAAAAATAAACAAATATAAAACAAAATTTATTTTGTGAAGAAAGATTGTTGAGGATATTTTTCATCTTCATCCCATTCATTTTCATTGAACTCATTCAAGAAAGTTGTTGCTTCTAAGTTCCTCTTCTTATCAAGTATCATGTTGACAAACTTCTGTGCCTGTTCCTTTCCCTTCAACAAGTAAACAGTTTTGATGATATTAATGTGGAATTTCCCGTATTTGTCCGCAGTCAATCTCTCCAACTTCACAAAGTCATTTTTCTTTATGAAACCTCTCGCGATTATCTGTATCGATCTTTCTTTTGAGAAACCAGTCTTTTCGCACTTATCCAATGCAGCATCTATATCAACAGCAGCTTCTTCAACAATGGCCTGGTTGAAAGGCAAATTCCTTGACGCGTATCCTTGGTATTGATACAAATCATCACAGAATTTCACCATTTTCACCATGTGTTGTACGTAAGGGAGGTCGAATCTATGGTCTATGTCATTCAGGATGGCTGTTGTCTGCGCGCTAGCTGGAAATCCCATCTCTCTGACCCTTCTTCGAACAGTTATATCCGATGTTTCCTTCGAAACTTCGGTTTTCTTCAGAAGAACGGTCAATGGATTGTCAGGATAGTCTCCGAACACTCGTTCTATGGCGTAGTAGAGGTTCTTGTTCTTGGAAATGATGGTTTGAAGGTATTCTTCGCCATTCGCGTTTATGCATTTTTGTAATAAGGGAACTAGAATGGTATCGTCCATGGAATCTGTGGCTGCTTGAAGGGCATCTTCCCAAAGACCCTCTTCCAGCCAGAGATTTACGATTCTTGCCAGAAATCTTTCTAATAATCCGACACTTTTTGCGAGTTCTGGGTTGTTTAGACGTCTGGCAGCAAAGGCAACGTCTGTGGGGTTGAGGCCTGAGTTCAGTTTGGTCTTGAAAAGCCTCAAAATGGAATCATTGTCATCTGAAGTCCTGGAAATCATGATTCTTCGACACCATTCTGTGACAACACGAGAGGGACGGCTGCCAATAAGCTCGCAGACCTTGGATGCCCTGCCAAACTGTCCAAAAGCACAATATCTCATCGGAGCTGAGCCGGATCTGATCAATCGCTCGGTTTCTTCGTAGCCACTGCATAGGAAAAGGTCGTTACGGAGAGAATTGGAGATTCTGAGGCATAAAATGGTAAAATCAATATCTATCGGAGATTCGAGCTGGAAATTGCCGAAAACAGCAGCGGCAAGGAAATATTTCTGCTTGTCAACATCAAAACAACACTCCATGGCCGCTGAAATGCAACTTTTAACTGCATCTGACAATTTCGGCTTTATATTGTTTACTTCGACAGAAGAACGCTTGTCGTAGGCTCTACAGAGTTTTCCGGCTGGTGTATCGGCGGAAATACATTCAAAAGATGAACTTCCTAATTCAGATAAAATTGTAAGCTGTTCTTGAGAGAAAATCATGGCATAAGACCCGCAGTTTATAAATATGGGGTCAGGGCCGACATCAAAGTAAGTTGACATCTTGTAAACATCGTATAAATAAACTTGATTGCCGGAAATAACCAAAGGAATGGAATCTCCGAGCCATCCGAAGTAAGTAACATTTTGTAAGTCACAATCAATACGAAGAACTAAATCTTGGCCTAAATCGCTCTTTAAAATCGCAATTTCGTCATTTCCTAATCCAATTGAGATGAAATCGTAACGTGGAGATAAGGAAAGTCTTGTAACTGGTTTGGGAAGTTCCATAGTGACTGTTCCTGTAATAGAACAAGCATATAATTTATTTCCGTCGCCAATATAAACAATTGGCTGATCATTAGCGGAATTCCTAGGTTCAACAATTGCGTAGTACGGGTATTGGCTTACTTCTGGAAGAGAAAAGAGATATCCCATATTATTATATTTTTCAACGAAATAAACTTTGTAATCATCTGTAATACATACACATCCGTAATCTAACATCTGACAGAACACAACTTCACTTGTGGTTTCAAATTCGTATGTTGAAATGATGCATGAATTAAAATATTCTGTAATTGTATTCGAAATTCCATTTGCCGCAAAGAAAAATAAGTGTCCTTCTAAATTATAATGCATATATGCACGATTACATGTATCTGTATTGATATATGTCTCAACTTTTTGTAATTTGTGATTATAGACATCAATTGCATGTCTTGTTGACGAAAGAGATGGAACACGAGTATATGCAATATTATTTCCGTTTGTACCACCAGCAATTATGGCAAAATATTGTGATATTGGCGCTGGCTCAGTCTTCCAAACGTTTTTCATGTACAATTTAAGGGCATTCATCGATTCATAATACTCGAAATCAGTTTTGATATCATCAATCGTAAGATTGCTGGTATCAAATAAAGATTCCATTTTTTCCATTTTTTCTAAAATTTGTCAACAAAAGTGACATAATTGAATTTATTCTTTATTTTAGTCTAATTTTTGCGTCTTATTTATGTTAAGCAGCAATATAACTCATTTATCTAAGCTTGTCGGATAGGTAGTTTTTCGCCAGAACCAAAGATTCTTTCAAAAAATTTCGGGCCTCGGGCGATAAATCTCAAAATATTGAAAAGATACTGATAAAGATATTTAAAAAATATTGACAAATTAAAAGCCGGCGGAGTTGATAAAAATTCCTAAAAATCTCCAAATCCGGAGATTCATGGCGGTGATCCTTTTTATTTTGGAGTTTCTGAACAAGCTTATTCTAACATGATCCAATAATATACACTGCGCAACTTTGCTCTCAAAAATTATCAAGATTTTGGACTTATCAAAATTTCAGAGAGCTCGATGAAAATTTGTAAAACTGGTGGGAAATTTATCACAAAAAAACTTTCCACATTCATGTAATATTTCCCCATCTACTTAATTCATTTTGTTGCTTTATTATTTATTTATCTATCCTCTATGATTCATAATTTGCTGGAAATTTTAAAAATGACTGTTCTAGGCATTAACACTAATGAATACAGCAAATTGAGGAGTGATTATAAATATTATATCGATTCATGCAATGCAATTTATAGGTTAAATACGGAAAAAGATGGCGAAATAAACTCAATTTACAATTTGATCAAAACAGAATTAATTGATTCAAAGAAGCATGATGTGCAAACTATTATAAGAAATGTTTTAAATGCGATTCCGTATAATAACCGCTATACAAAATCATACTTGAAACTCGCGAAACTTATATATGATAATAATGAGGTGAAAGGGGTTAATAACATCGATACTGATGGTTTCAAAGAAATAGAACTAAATTATATAGATATTCATTCAGAAAATTCAATTTATAAAGCAATTATGAATAATGATATAGAAAACTTAATATGCTTCATAGAAAGAGAAGAATTTGATCAAGATCAAAAACTTATAAGCACGTTATATCCATATTCTCAAGATGGATATTCATTGCTTGAATTATGTTGTTACCATGGAGCAGTTGATTGTTTCAAGATTTTAAGAACAGATTGTGACTCAGAAATAACTCAAAAATGTCTCGAATTATCATTTTTAGGGGAAAACAAAGAAATTATGAGTGAATGCTTGAAATATCAAAAACCAAATTGTAATTGCATGGAATATGCAATTATTTCTCACAATATTGATTTTGTTACATTCTTGATGAATGAATTCAATTTAAAGATCGATTTAGGTGCTTGTGGATTTTATAATAATCTTGAATCATTTTTGGTTTATTTCGATCATATTAATAATTTTAACGAATGTTTCATCCATTCAACGATGTTTAATATCCCATCATTTTCAGAATACTTTTTTCAAGAGTTAAAGACATCAATATTAAAAATAAATATGGAATTACGGCTCTCCATTATGCAGCTTTTTTCAATAGTAAAGAAACAGCCGAACTTCTTATTTCACATGGTGCAAATATCAATGAAAAAGATGAAAAAATGAAAACTGCTCTCCATTATGCAGCAGAAAAAAATAGTAAAGAAACAGCGGAACTTCTTATTTCACATGGTGCAAATGTCAATGAAAAGGATGAATTGGGAAATACCGCTCTTCATATTGCCGCAGAATGCAATAGTAAAGAAACAGCCGAACTTCTTATTTCACATGGTGCAAATATCAATGAAAAGGATGAATTTGGAAATACCGCTCTTCATATTGCCGCAGAATGCAATAGTAAAGAAACAGCCGAACTTCTTATTTCACATGGTGCAAATATCAATGAAAAGGATGAATTTCGGAAGAACCGCTCTTCATATTGCCGCAGAACACAATAGAAAAGAAACAGCCGAACTTCTTATTTCACATGGTGCAAATGTCAATGAAAAAGATAATTTCGGAAGAACCGCTCTTCATATTGCCGCAGAACACAATAGTAAAGAAACAGCCAAACTTCTTATTTCACATGGTGCAAATGTCAATGAAAAGGATGAATTGGGAAATACCGCTCTTCATATTGCCGCAGAATGCAATAGTAAAGAAACAGCCGAACTTCTTATTTCACATGGTGCAAATGTCAATGAAAAAGATAATTTCGGAAGAACCGCTCTTCATATTGCCGCAGAATGCAATAGTAAAGAAACAGCCAAACTTCTTATTTCACATGGTGCAAATGTCAATGAAAAGGATGAATTGGGAAATACCGCTCTTCATATTGCCGCAGAATGCAATAGTAAAGAAACAGCCGAACTTCTTATTTCACATGGTGCAAATGTCAATGAAAAAGATAATTTCGGAAGAACCGCTCTTCATATTGCCGCAGAATGCAATAGTAAAGAAACAGCCAAACTTCTTATTTCACATGGTGCAAATGTCAATGAAAAGGATGAATTGGGAAATACCGCTCTTCATATTGCCGCAGAATGCAATAGTAAAGAAACAGCCAAACTTCTTATTTCACATGGTGCAAATGTCAATGAAAAGGATGAATTGGGAAATACCGCTCTTCATATTGCCGCAGAATGCAATAGTAAAGAAACAGCCGAACTTCTTATTTCACATGGTGCAAATGTCAATGAAAAAGATAATTTCGGAAGAACCGCTCTTCATATTGCCGCAGAATGCAATAGTAAAGAAACAGCCGAACTTCTTATTTCACATGGTGCAAATGTCAATGAAAAAGATAATTTCGGAAGAACCGCTCTTCATTATGCAGTTAAAAATAAGAGTAAAGAAATAGTCGAACTTCTAATTTCACATGGTGCAAATATCAATGAAAAGGATGAATTGGGAAATACCGCTCTTCGTAAGGCAGCTATTTTCAATAGTAAAAAAACAGCGGAACTTCTTATTTCACATGGTGCAAATATCAATGAAAAAGATGAATATGGAAATACTTGCTGATATGGAACAGAACTATGATTGGACCGATCAATGGCTGTGGAATTTTTGCGATTTGGCGGTAAAATTTCCAACTTTATGTATGAAATTTGTCTCAATTTCATACATAAAGTTGATATTCTTTCTTTGGTTTTGAGCGGCCATACACTTCATTCGAACGAACGTTTTTTTTGTATTCACAATTTTTTCGGCCAAAAATATATAAACTATGAATCAAAAGGCGAACATATCAATTTTTGAATAGTTTACATTTCTAATGTTATTGGTGCCTTCACTGAGTGTGAGAGGAGATTATCAAATGCGAGAGCTCTAATAATCTGCACATGCAATAGGTAGTATAGCAGCTTCTATTTATGCTTAAATTTCTGGTTTGAAGCTTGAATAAAATTTAGATATCTTAAATTTTGAAGTTTAACACGAAAAAATCGTATTAATTCATCCTATATGGATGCATGTTTTATGATTCTTTGTTGTTATATCGAATTAGAGCGAATGGCAGAAATCGACTTTTTGAGAGAAACTCATATAAATAATTGTATGACTTCTCTCAAAAAGTTGAAAATACGCCTTTTGACTCGCGGTTTATCATTTATAATGTAACATTTAGTCATATTTTTATAAAAAAAAAACACGAAAATCAGGAACCATTCAAAATTATTTAAACTTGTCTGACTGATGATTTTCAAAAAATTTCGGGCTTCGGGCGATTTATCGCCCTCGGCCAAAATGCACATCAATTTATAGTCAGAGGCAATCGATTCTCAAATGGTAAGGACGTCAATTCGGAAAATTGTTTTCATTTTAGGAGAATATAATTTTCCTTTTGGAAAATTTAAAAAGTGAGACGCGCAGGATTCGAACTTTTTTAAAAGTTGATTTAAATATATTCTAGTGTGATTTCTAAGGATAATATCATATTTAAAATAAGAATATACTAGTTTGGGTGGTATAATTTTTTCGATAAATTTGAGAATATGTACGTTTAGGGCATCAAAAGTATCAATTCGCTCCGCGAAAGCTGAGCTAGATTCGTTCTCGAAAGAATAGGGAAGGAGTGAAAGAGAGTGATAGAGATGTTGACACATTCATATCATTTCAACAAATTTTGATCAAATTGAAATGCAATGAAATTCAATTCACTTCATATCCTTCAGTCAGTACATTGACATCCTTCTACATCACAATGATAACTCGTACATCAATAGTTCTACAACTAACTCAGAAAAAACAAGATTTTTACTTCCAGCTTACAGCTTTTAAAAAGTTTCGATGATAAAAATCACTCTACTCTTGTTTATCGATATGTTGTGATAGTAGGTAAACGTATTCTTATCGATATTAATAAAAATATTTTTACGAAAATCCGAACCAATTACAGAGTTAATCATAAAGTTTATGATAACTGTAATTACATCATCTTTGTTTTATATTTGAATAAACAATTTAATTTAATTTGCATAATTTTTTTTAGTTGAAAAACAGGAAACTTATTTGAGTTTGTATTATTTTTATCGTTCAATTCATTGTATCAGTGAGTGATCCAGATATTTAAGATATTTAGAAAAAATTTATTAATTTGATTAACAAATTTTAATCAAAATAGCAAAAATCTATTTGATAGCTGTAAGCAAACAATAATTTTTATTTCAAGCAAAATCACTTATTTTTATCTAAACGTATAAAATTGTCAATTTTATGAGAATAAATTTAAAATCTCATGAAATATAAAGAAGAGTAATATTTTTTCAATTTTCTTTTTTTCTTTGTCTCAAATATTTTCTGTTGGGAATTTTCTTGTTATCAAAAAATAATTTTAATATTTGTTTATTTCATTACATACAATAAAATTTTAAAAACTTTATTTCTTCTCAAGAAAATTTTTTTCCTTCATATGAAGAAACATTTTGTTCTCCATTTGATGCTGAGTCTAAATCTCGATTTTTGAATTTTCTTCTTTCCAAATTTCTTTTTTCCAAATTAGAAGTTTAATTCAAATTTTCAATAGTTTATATATTTGCTCAAACCGTCTTAGATTTTCTTACTTTTTGGGGATTTTCTCTCAAAATATACAAAAATAGTAATATCAATACATGTGTCTAATATACTTTAAAACCATCGTGATAAAATTCAAAAACGAAGAGTTCTTCTCTCCAAATTTTTTTCAAAATCAAAAAAATGAGATAAAAAAATACGTTTGGAAAATTCATTTTTAGCATTTTAGGAATTTTCTCACTTTTCTTCCAAATTGACATCCTTACAAATGGCCATTTTTTCTTTCGGAAATATAGGGTGTTTGCCTCACAACGACGTTTTTACTGTTTTCCTCCAATTTTCAAAAAATTATTTCTACTTCTTTATTGGATGTTAAATTCATCATTAATAGTTCAAGTTGCTTAGTTTATACATGTAGAGCTAATGAAATTACGTTTAAAACAATTTTCTCACATTCAAAAAATTATTTTGTAAAAATTTGGAGAATATGAAAAGAAAATTCTCTATTTATAAAAATTTAATAACATTCTATGTGGTAAAGGGACAAAATTATCAATAAGTGCTACTATGAAGCACAAAGAACTGCAGACAAGTCCAATTTTAGAATTTGATGCGATCAAACTTGAAATTATCGCAATAAAAATCAGTCTGCATGAAATACCTCTTAATGCTAAGTCCGGGATATCGGAAACAAACGAACATATTGAGGTTAATATTGAATTTATTATTGAAAACAAAGCAATTAAAATATTTGTTACTGAAAGTACTTTTCTTTCAAATGCTAATACTGGGATGCAAGAAATTACGTATAAAATCATTAATCCGTTTGAATCTGCGTTAATTATCGAAATAATACAGTCTTTTGAGGAAGGAATATCGAATGATGAGCGCATAATATGATATGAAGAGTCAATCTTGAAAAGAGTTAAAATCGAAATAATTAATAATAAAAAGAAAATCAAAATCCCAACTGGCCAGCTTGGAGCCTTTTTTGGTGATGTAAAACAGCCGAGAACTAAGATAAGAGGAACTAAAAACATAAAACAAAGTTCATATTTCATTATTGTCGCAAAAGATGCGGTTAATATTGATAGAAATGCTGAAACTATCCAGGGTAATGAAAGTATTTCTGATTTTTGGAGCTTTAATGAAAATAAAACTGTTGATATTACTAAAAATAAAGTTAAAGAAAACCCAAACGAGCCATACAGCATACTAACGAAACTTCTGTCTAAAAATATCGTGAGAGTTGTAATAACACCAACATTTGGAGTATAAAAGAAAATTGTTGCAATAGAATAAAATCCGTAAGCGAATAACGAAATTATTGTTGAATTAAATGCTTTATACATAATATCGTTTTGAACTGTCATCTGAATGAAGTCATTCACCCAATCTATGGCATGAGATTTGATTATATTTTCTGATGGAGTAATGAAAAATGAGAAAGCAAACGATGAAATGAAAAATATGGTAATAATCAAAAACGATGACCTCAAAGTTCTATCTGAAATCGAATCTTCAATTACAGTATTATGTCTATAAACTGAAGAAACACGAATTCCTTTGGTAAGTTTCTTCCTCGAATCCAAATTTATCCTTTGCATTCTTTTTTGCGGTGGTCTATCGAGTGTATTATAGAATTTTGGAGGTGTTGAAAATGGTGTATGGCGATCCATGTTTTTTGAGTTACAAAAATGATTATTTAATGAGGAAATAATAAATGGCATGAGAAGTTTATGAATAATATCATGTTTTTACTTTATTTTGTCAATTTTGCTCTCAAATTTGATATTTACTATTCATAGCTGCAGGATGAAGCGGAGTGCCCAAATCGGCCATTCTTGCATTTGCATTAGCGCCATTCTTTAAAAGAACTTCTATAATTTCATGATATATTAAGTTTCGAGTTCTCAATATCGCATTCTTTGAATTAAATTCTAATTTGTATCTATTGTCAAAAAATCCTTTCTATTTTTAAACAAAAGGGTTAAAACAAAAATTAGATTAAATTTTTTTTAATGTCTCGTAAAGACATTCAATCAAATAAATATAGTGAATTGCGAAGTACTCATAAAGACTACATAGATTCATATATTGCATTGTACCGGCTGAAAACGGAAAAAGAAGAAGAATTAAACTCGATTTACATAATGATCAGATCAGCATTGATCGATTCAAAGAAATATCTCCCAAAAAATATTATAAGAGATCTTTTAAATATTATTCAGTTTAATAATCGCTATGCAAAGTCATATTTATATCTTGCTAAACGTATTTCTGATGATTACAATGTAATTCAGGTCGGCAACATTCCACCAACATCTAACTTCCTATTTTATAATGAATATGGAATTACATTAGACAAATCCGAAAATGTCGAAAAAATTAATAAACGTGATCTCGATATTCATTCGGAAAATACAATTTACAAGGCAATTATGGATAATGACAAAGAAACATTCATACAATTCATTGAAAGAAGTAATCATTATAAAGATCAACGTCTTAATAACATTTTATATCCAGAAACTTATTCAGGATATTCATTACTTGAATTATGTTGTTACCATGGAGCAGTTGATTGTTTCAAGTTATTAAGAACGAATTTTAACTCAGAAATAACTCAAAAATGTCTTCAATTATCGTTTTTAGGAGGAAATCAAGAGATCATGAGTGAATGTTTGAAATATCAACAACCAAATAAATATTGCATGGAATATGCAATTATTTCACACAACATTGATTTTGTTACCTTTTTGATGAATGAACACAATTTTGAGATTGATTTATATTCTTGCGGAATACACAAAAATCTCGAATCATTTTTAGTTTATTTCGATCAAACAAAAGATTTTAAAATAGTTTAGTCGGTTTTTGCATTTTTAAAATGTTAGTCACCTTTCTCCTTCCAAAGTGAAAAAAAATTGTTTAAAATATAAAAAGAATTTTTATTCGCATAGGCGACAAACAAGGATTTATAAATAAATAATGGGGCTTTGAGTATTGATCTGAATTGAATCAGATAATTAGCCGTAAAAAATCTTCTAATAACGATTTCTCATGCATGAAAGATGGCTATGAGTGGCGTTAATGAGGGCGTTTGATAATTGGAGTTGGACATAAAATTTGGAGATCTTAATTTTTGAGAATTTTGGTGCGATCTTACTGGTACAAGCAAGAGTATGGAAGGAGATTGAACTGAGAAAAAAACTAGAGCATGCAAAAGAATCATGCTACAGCTTAGTTGAATGTCATTTATGCAAATAAAAATATCTTTTTCAAATTTCAAACAAATTTTTGCCACTTTTTGAAAGAAGATAAGGTAACAAACATTTTAAAATGCAAAACCTAGACTTAAACTATGCCGAAATGTGAGCTCACCGTTACGGTTTTTCTTTTTTTTGGGGCTCGCAAGCTCGCCCCCAAAGAAAAAACCGTAACGGTGACTAACATTTAGGAAAAATGTTTTGTTTATTCGGCGATGTTTGGAATAGCTCCCCTTTGCGAATATTTACTTTTAAATGGTGCAAAAATCAATGATAAAGATGATTACGGATTAACCGCTCTTCATTATGCAGGAAAATATAATAATAAAGAAACAGCAGAACTTCTTATTTCACGTCGTGCAAAAATCAATGAAAAAGATAAAGATAAAAAACCGCTCTTCATTATGCTGCAGAACACAATAATAAAGAAACAGCCGAATTTCTTATTTTACTTGGTGCAAAAATCAATGAAAAAGATAATTATGGTGAAACCGCTCTTCATTATGCGGCAAAGTACAATCATAAAGAAACAGCAGACCTCCTTATTTCACATGGTGCAAAAATCAATGAAAAAGATAGATTTGGTGAAACCGCTCTTCATTATTCGGCAAAGTACAATAAAAAAGAAACAGCCGAATTTCTTATTTCACTTGGTGCAAATATCAATGAAAAAGATAGTTATGGTTTAACCGCTCTTCATTATTCGGCAAAACACAATAATAAAGAAACAGTAGAACTCCTTATTTCACTTGGTGCAAAAATCAATGAAAAAGATAGTAATGGTTTAACCGCTCTTCATTATACGGCAAAACACAATAAAAAAGAAACAGCCGAACTCCTTATTTCACTTGGTGCAAAAATCAATGAAAAAGATAGATTTGGTGAAACCGCTCTTCATTATGCGGCAAAATATAATAATAAAAAAACAACAGAACTCCTTATTTCACATGGTGCAAATATCAATGAAAAAGATAGATATGGTGAAACAGCATTTCATTATGCAGCAAAACACAATAATAAAGAAACAGCCGAACTCCTTATTTCACATGGTGCAAATATCAATGAAAAAGATAATTATGGTGAAACCGCTCTTCATTATGCGGCAAAGTACAATCATAAAGAAACAGCAGACCTCCTTATTTCACATGGTGCAAAAATCAATGAAAAAGATAGATTTGGTGAAACCGCTCTTCATTATTCGGCAAAGTACAATAAAAAAGAAACAGCCGAATTTCTTATTTCACTTGGTGCAAATATCAATGAAAAAGATAGTTATGGTTTAACCGCTCTTCATTATACGGCAAAACACAATAAAAAAGAAACAGCCGAACTCCTTATTTCACTTGGTGCAAAAATCAATGAAAAAGATAGTAATGGTTTAACCGCTCTTCATTATGCGGCAAAATATAATAATAAAAAAACAACAGAACTCCTTATTTCACATGGTGCAAATATCAATGAAAAAGATAGATATGGTGAAACAGCATTTCATTATGCAGCAAAACACAATAATAAAGAAACAGCCGAACTCCTTATTTCACTTGGTGCAAATATCAATGAAATAGGTAGTAACGGCGAAACTGTTCTTCATTATGCGGCAAAACACAATAATAAAGAAACAGTAGAACTCCTTATTTCACTTGGTGCAAAAATCAATGAAAAAGATAGTAATGGTTTAACCGCTCTTCATTATGCGGCAAAACACAATAAAAAAGAAACAGCCGAACTCCTTATTTCACTTGGTGCAAAAATCAATGAAAAAGATAGATTTGGTGAAACCGCTCTTCATTATGCGGCAAAATATAATTAAAAAAACAACAGAACTCCTTATTTCACATGGTGCAAATATCAATGAAAAAGATAGATATGGTGAAACAGCATTTCATTATGCAGCAAAACACAATAATAAAGAAACAGCCGAACTCCTTATTTCACTTGGTGCAAAAATCAATGAAAAAGATAGTAATGGTTTAACCGCTCTTCATTATTCGGCAAAGTACAATAAAAAAGAAACAGCCGAACTCCTTATTTCACATGGTGCAAAAATCAATGAAAAAGATAGATTTGGTGAAACCGCTCTTCATTATGCGGCAAAATATAATAATAAAAAAACAACAGAACTCCTTATTTCACATGGTGCAAAATCAATGAAAAAGATAGATTGGTGAAACAGCATTTCATTATGCAGCAAAACACAATAATAAAGAAACAGCCGAACTCCTTATTTCACTTGGTGCAAAAATCAATGAAAAAGATAATTATGGTGAAACCGCTCTTCATTATGCGGCAAAGTACAATCATAAAGAAACAGCAGACCTCCTTATTTCACATGGTGCAAAAATCAATGAAAAAGATAGATTTGGTGAAACCGCTCTTCATTATTCGGCAAAGTACAATAAAAAAGAAACAGCCGAATTTCTTATTTCACTTGGTGCAAATATCAATGAAAAAGATAGTTATGGTTTAACCGCTCTTCATTATTCGGCAAAACACAATAATAAAGAAACAGTAGAACTCCTTATTTCACTTGGTGCAAAAATCAATGAAAAAGATAGTAATGGTTTAACCGCTCTTCATTATACGGCAAAACACAATAAAAAAGAAACAGCCGAACTCCTTATTTCACTTGGTGCAAAAATCAATGAAAAAGATAGATTTGGTGAAACCGCTCTTCATTATGCGGCAAAATATAATAATAAAAAACAACAGAACTCCTTATTCACATGGTGCAAATATCAATGAAAAAGATAGATATGGTGAAACAGCATTTCATTATGCAGCAAAACACAATAATAAAGAAACAGCCGAACTCCTTATTTCACTTGGTGCAAATATCAATGAAATAGGTAGTAACGGCGAAACTGTTCTTCATTATGCGGCAAAACACAATAATAAAGAAACAGTAGAACTCCTTATTTCACTTGGTGCAAAAATCAATGAAAAAGATAGTAATGGTTTAACCGCTCTTCATTATTCGGCAAAACACAATAAAAAAGAAACAGCCGAACTCCTTATTTCACATGGTGCAAAAATCAATGAAAAAGATAGATTTGGTGAAACCGCTCTTCATTATGCGGCAAAATATAATAATAAAAAAACAACAGAACTCCTTATTTCACATGGTGCAAATATCAATGAAAAAGATAGATATGGTGAAACAGCATTTCATTATGCAGCAAAACACAATAATAAAGAAACAGCCGAACTCCTTATTTCACATGGTGCAAATATCAATGAAAAAGATAATTATGGTGAAACGCTCTTCATTATGCGGCAAAGTACAATCATAAAGAAACAGAACTCCTTATTTCACATGGTGCAAAATCAATGAAAAAGATAGATTTGGTGAAACCGCTCTTCATTATTCGGCAAAGTACAATAAAAAAGAAACAGCCGAATTTCTTATTTCACTTGGTGCAAATATCAATGAAAAAGATAGTTATGGTTTAACCGCTCTTCATTATACGGCAAAACACAATAAAAAAGAAACAGCCGAACTCCTTATTTCACTTGGTGCAAAAATCAATGAAAAAGATAGTAATGGTTTAACCGCTCTTCATTATGCGGCAAAATATAATAATAAAAAAACAACAGAACTCCTTATTTCACATGGTGCAAATATCAATGAAAAAGATAGATATGGTGAAACAGCATTTCATTATGCAGCAAAACACAATAATAAAGAAACAGCCGAACTCCTTATTTCACTTGGTGCAAATATCAATGAAATAGGTAGTAACGGCGAAACTGTTCTTCATTATGCGGCAAAACACAATAATAAAGAAACAGTAGAACTCCTTATTTCACTTGGTGCAAAAATCAATGAAAAAGATAGTAATGGTTTAACCGCTCTTCATTATACGGCAAAACACAATAAAAAAGAAACAGCCGAACTCCTTATTTCACTTGGTGCAAAAATCAATGAAAAAGATAGATTTGGTGAAACCGCTCTTCATTATGCGGCAAAATATAATAATAAAAAAACAACAGAACTCCTTATTTCACATGGTGCAAATATCAATGAAAAAGATAGATATGGTGAAACAGCATTTCATTATGCAGCAAAACACAATAATAAAGAAACAGCCGAACTCCTTATTTCACTTGGTGCAAAAATCAATGAAAAAGATAGTAATGGTTTAACCGCTCTTCATTATTCGGCAAAGTACAATAAAAAGAAACAGCCGAACTCCTTATTTCACATGGTGCAAAAATCAATGAAAAAGATAGATTTGGTGAAACCGCTCTTCATTATGCGGCAAAATATAATAATAAAAAAACAACAGAACTCCTTATTTCACATGGTGCAAATATCAATGAAAAAGATAGATATGGTGAAACAGCATTTCATTATGCAGCAAAACACAATAATAAAGAAACAGCCGAACTCCTTATTTCACTTGGTGCAAATATCAATGAAATAGGTAGTAACGGCGAAACTGTTCTTCATTATGCGGCAAAACACAATAATAAAGAAACAGTAGAACTCCTTATTTCACTTGGTGCAAAAATCAATGAAAAAGATAGTAATGGTTTAACCGCTCTTCATTATTCGGCAAAGTACAATAAAAAAGAAACAGCCGAACTCCTTATTTCACATGGTGCAAAAATCAATGAAAAAGATAGATTTGGTGAAACCGCTCTTCATTATGCGGCAAAATATAATAATAAAAAAACAACAGAACTCCTTATTTCACATGGTGCAAATATCAATGAAAAAGATAGATATGGTGAAACAGCATTTCATTATGCAGCAAAACACAATAATAAAGAAACAGCCGAACTCCTTATTTCACTTGGTGCAAATATCAATGAAATAGGTAGTAACGGCGAAACTGTTCTTCATTATGCGGCAAAACACAATAATAAAGAAACAGTAGAACTCCTTATTTCACTTGGTGCAAAAATCAATGAAAAAGATAGATTTGGTGAAACCGCTCTTCATTATACGGCAAAACACAATAAAAAAGAAACAGCCGAACTCCTTATTTCACATGGTGCAAAAATCAATGAAAAAGATAGATTTGGTGAAACAGCATTTCATTATACGGCAAAACACAATAAAAAAGAAACAGCCGAACTCCTTATTTCACATGGTGCAAATATCAATGAAAAAGATAGTAATGGTTTAACCGCTCTTCATTATGCGGCAAAATATAATAATAAAAAAACAACAGAACTCCTTATTTCACATGGTGCAAATATCAATGAAAAAGATGAATATGGAAGAATAGCTCTTCATTATGCAGCAGAACACACTATTGAAAAAACAGCAGGACTCCTTATTTCACATGGTGCAAATATCAATGAAAAAGATAATAACGGAGAAACCGCTCTTCATAAAGTAGCCAGATATAATAATAAAGAAACAGCTGAACTTCTTATTTCTCATGGTGCAAATATCAATGAAAAAGATAAGTTTGGTGAAACCGCTCTTTTCAACGCAGTAATGAATGATCTTAAAGAAATAGCAGAACTTCTTATTTTACATGGTGCAAATATCAATGAAAAAGATATATATAAAATAACCGCTCTTCATATGGCACTATATAGATTTAACAAAAAAATGATAAAATTTCTTATTTTACATGGTGCAAATATCAATGAAAAAGATAAAAATGGAGAAGCTGCTCTTCAAATTGCAAAACGATATCATGACAAAGAAATAATAAAATTTCTTATTTCACATGGTGCAAAATAGTCAAATTATCTGGAAAACTTTTATGCATAGTAGAAAATGTGAAATGGAAATGCACAATTTCTCTCAATTTTTCGAACACTTCTTGCCTATCGTTTTCGAAGTGGCGCTTCACACCGCTAATAAATTTTTGAGAACAACATTGGTTGTTTGTTCAGCAAAATTATTTCAACGAATTACGATTCACAATTTGATGTAACATAATAATATCTCATTGATTTTTGACTATTGATAATTCGAAAAGTCATTTTCTTCACTATTTAATTGGCGCTTTGCGCCAATCAAACAGCTCAGATTAATAATATGATATTATTTCAAATATGATGAAAATTTTTGAGTGAAAACTATCAAAATAAAGTCTTAAAAAATACATTTTTAGAAATGGTTTTTGATTCTTAAGGGTGCACTTACCACTTTCTGACACTCTCTCAAAAAGAGATATACGGGCATGGAGAGTATAGAAAATAAAACCTTAAACAAGAAATTTGAGAGAACCTTAATCATTTTACGTAATTCACATATCTTTTTATTCGTTTAGTAACTTTTCAAACTAAGATCATATCATTCATATTTGGGGATTACTGATTCTGTTTATCTTATTTATTTTGAAATCTGTCGTTTAGATCTTCGTGTGATCATCTTTCAACAGACAATCACTATATATATCATCTAGCGGCGCTACGCGCCGATAGATAAAGGAAAAGACGTTTATATCGTTGTGATAGGAAAAAAAAGAGTTCAATGAAATCGTCATTAGTATCAAGTATGGATATGGGAGATAATACACAACGAACGGCAAATTACACCATATATAAATTGCAAAAGGAATTACAAAAGGCAAATGAAAAAATTCAGCTACAAGAGAAACAAATTAATGATCTTCGAATAGAAAATTCAAAATTAAGAGGTAATATTGGCGTTCAAGAAGACCTTCAAAGTCAGAACACAGCACTTCGTCAAATTCATGAACACATGACTAAAGAACACAAAATTGAAATTGAAAACTTTAAGAGACAAATATCTCAGCTAAAGTCTAAATTAGACTTTGCTAATGCCAATACTGAAGATCAGATTAGAGAATATCAATACAGAATATCCAAATTAGAGCAAGAAATTAAAACACTGAAAGACACCTGCAAATCTAAAAACCAAAGAATAGAAGATCTCAAGAATGCTCCAAATCGTACAATAGATGATGAAGATATAAACAGGCTCAACGAAACGATTCAAATTCAAAATTCAACAATCGATAGTTTAAAGGATACAATAGTTCATCAGAACACACAAATTTCGAATTTATCGCGCGCTGTGACTGAAACTCAATCCCAAATAAACATTTCAGCATTCAATCAAACAATTGAACTTAATTCTCCGCAAAAATCAAATAATACATCAGATAAAAATATAGGGGAAGAAGAATTGGATAATAATCAAACAATGAGTGACTTCATTCTTGCTCTTCAACTAGATGAATCTGATGAAAATCACTCTCGTCATCATAGGAGTCATCATCATAGATCAAGATCCTCAAGGCATTAAAATAACATATGGTTTCTTTTATATTTTTGTTTTTATAAAATTAATTGTTTGCATTTTTTTTATTTATTTTTATTTTTATTAAAGGTACAGACACTTTTTATGACCAGAGAACATATATGACTTTGATAAATAAGTTAAAGTCATATTAATCATATTTCCAAATAATATATGCTCGTTCTCATAAAAAACATGCATGTCACCTTTAGAATAGTAATTTATAAATAGATATAATATGTGTTCATTCTAAAATATAAAATATATGATATTTTAAACAATATGATACTTGGAATACTCAACTGATATCTGGTTCAGAAATTATAATATAATAAAAGAAATTCTCGTCAGTCTTATCAATCTCTAAACATTTTGAAAGTAAGTGCATCTTAGAATAAGCTCTATTGTAATTAAATGATTCAGATTTTTTAAAGCTATTTTTTATTTCTAGTGAAATAAATATGAGAAAATATTAAAAGAATAAAGAAAAGAATCATTTGATTGAAAATGGAACATTATAATATTTTTGCACCATGTGAAAGAAGAATATTGGCTGTTTCTTCACAATCATGTTCTATTGCATAGTGCAGAGGCGTTTTCCCGACTTTATCTTTTATGCTGATATTCGCACCATGTGAAATAAGAAATTCGGCTGCTTCTTCTCTGTTTTTTACTGCGGCATAATGAAGAGCGGTTTTCCCATCATTATCTTTTTCATTGACATCCACACCATGTGAAATAAGAAAACTTATTACAATTTTATTGTTAAATTCTGCGGCATAATGAAGAGTGGTTTTCCCATCTTTATCTTTTTCATTAATATTTGCACCACGTGAAAGAAGAAATTCAGCGGTTTCCTTTCCATGATGATATATTGCTCTAAGAAGAGCTATTTGTCCATATTTATTAATTTCATTGATGTTTGCACCATGTGAAAGAAGAAATTCAGCTATTTCTTTTCTATTAAAATATGCTGCTTCATGAAGAGCTGTTGTTCCATATTCATCTTTTTCATTGACGTTGGCACCATGTAAAATAAGAAGTTCTGCAGTTTCTTTACTATTTACATGTACTGCTTCATGAAGAGCTGTTTCTCCATTTTGATCTTTTTCATTGATTTTTGCATCGTGTAAAATAAGAAATTCAGCATTTTCTTTTCTATTATAATATGCTGCTTCATGACGAGCTGTTGATCCATATTTATTTTTTTCATTGATATTTGCGCCATGTGAAAGAAGAAATTCGGTAATTTCTTTGCTATTGCATCCTGCTGTATAATGAAGAGCTGTATTATCATCTTTACCTTTTTCATTGATATTTGCACCATGTGAAAAAAGAAGCTTGACTGTTTCTTTTCTATTATATTCTGCTGCAATATGAAGAGCGGTGTTTCCATATTTAACTTTTTCATTGATATTTGCACCATGCGAAATGAGAAGTTCCACTATTTCATTCATATGAATTATTGCAGAGCAAAGAGGGGTATCCCCATTTTTATATTTTTCATTGACATTTGCACCATGTAAAATAAGAATTTCAGCTATTTCTTTATAATTTTTTTTGATTGCATAATGAAGAGCGGTTTTTTCATTGTCATCTTTTTCATTAATATTTGCACCATGCGAAATAAGAAGTTCGGCCATTTCTTTACTATTATATTTTGCTGCCATATGAAGAGCGGTTTTTCCCCATGCAACTTTTTCATTGACATTTGCACCAAGCGAAATAAGAAGTTCGGCAGTTTCTTTAGCATTAAAATGTGCAGCCTCAAAAAGAAGATGATTTTTTTATTGATATCTGCACCATGCGAAATAAGAAATTCGGCCATATCTTTATGATTAGAAATGACTGCTTTATAAAGAGCCGTTTCGTAATAGTCATCTTTTTCATTGATATTTGCACCAAGCGAAATAAGAAATTCAGCCATTTCTTTTCTATTATAGTCTGCTGCATAATGCAGAGCGGTATTTCCGAATCTACCTTTTTCATTAATATTTGCACCATGCGAAATAAGAAATTCAGCAATTTCTTTTCTATTATATTTTGCTGCATAATGAAAAGCGTTTTCCCCAACACAATCTTTTTCATTGATATTTGCACCGTGTGAAATAAGGAGTTCAACTATTTCTTTATTGTTATTTTTTGTTGCAATACTAAGAGGAGTTGCTAGTTCATTAGATTTTGCATTGACATTTGCACTAAGTGAAAGGAAATATTCACAAAGGGATGGAATATCAAATTATGCTGACCATTTAAAGCATTCGTCAATTTTATTAGTTTGATCGAAATAAACTAAAAATGATTCAAGATTGTTGTATTCTGCACAATCGCTTAAATCAATGCTTAAATTGTATTCATTCATCAAAAATGTGACGAAATCAATGTTGTGTAAAATAATTGCTATTCTCATGTCCAAATTATTTGGTTCTTGATATTTCAAACATTCACTTATGATCTCTTGATTTCCTCCTAAAAATGAATTGTGAAGACAATCAAGAGTTATTTTTGAGTTAAATTTCGATCTTAAGAACTTGAAACAATCAACTGCCCCATAGTAACAACATAAATCAAGTAATGTTAATCCGAGTTTAGAATCTGGATATAAACAGCTTATAATTCTTTGATCTTCATTAAATCCTTCTTTTTCTGTGAATGAGATGAATAGTTCTTTGTCATTATACATAATTGCTCTGACAATTTCATTTTCTGAAAGAATTTCTGGATTTCTGAATTTTTTAGATTCGAAACTACAAGATTTGTCTAAATAAATTCCATATTCTTTATAAAAAAGGTAGTTTGGAGTATCTTCCAAGTAGAAGGCCTCTTTGACATGATAATCATCAGATATGAGTTTGGCAAGAGTTAAATATGACTTTGTATAGCGATTTCTATACTGAATGAGAGTTAATATATCTATTATAATATGTTCGGGGCTGTATTTCTTTGAATCCAGCAATTCTGCTTTGATCATTTTGTAAATCTTGTTTAGTTCTTCTTCTTTTTCCGTTTTCAGCTGACACAAAGCAATATATGAATCTATGTGGTATTTGTAGATACTTCGTAATTCACTGAATTTGCTTGGATGAATGTCTTGATCAGACATTAAAAATTTTAAAAAAGGGCACATTTTCACTTTACCATATAAAATATCTTTGTAATTCATTTTGAGGGGAAAGTCCCATTATAATCATGTAAAAAACAATGAACTCATAAATTTCGGATAAGAATTTCGAATTTTTATTAAGTTTAAAGATATTAAATGACACAATGACAATAGTAAAGTCTAAAACAATAAAATATTCCTCAGAATCTTGATATTGAAATTCGCAAGGTGTATAAATTTTAGGCTAATAAACAATCCAACACTTGATTTAATTATCTAAAGAATTGACTCATTTGATTACGATATGATTTAGTTTCATAAAACAGCATTTATTTCAAAATCTTATTCTTCAACAAGTGGAAACTTAACAACGACCAAAACGGCCAAAATATATATATATCTAATATCATTGCAATTAAGAATATTTAAGAAACTTTTTTTTTGAAAGCGATAGTTTTTATTTCAAAAAATTGTCACTTTTTCAAAAATTTTTATTTGATCGTTGCATGAATTTTGGGACTTGGGCTCCAGAAATCAATGCAGCAATTAATATTCTAAAACCAGCAATAGATATCTCGCTTGTTGGCCAAGAAAAATTAAGAAAAGCTGATATTGAAACCAAAAATGACGGAACAGTTGTTTCCATTGTAGATTTTGCATGTCAATCAGTGATAATGGATGGACTTAAAAAGAATTTTCCGAAAGATTCAGTACTCGGCGAAGAAGATGTTAGAAAAATTGATGATAAGTTCTTAAATCATGTCAAATCCTTATTACCAGATGACATTGATCCAGTATCTACTTGTTCATCAGCCATTACAAAGATATCCGATAAAGATGAAAGAACCTGGGTTATTGATCCAATTGATGGAACCTATGGCTTTGTTAATGGTGGAAACTTTGCTATTGCTATGGCTTTACTTGTTAATCGCCATGTTGTTTGCTCCGCAGTTGCTTGGCCACGTCATGATGTAAATTCAACCGGACTCATCGATTTTGAAGGCCCAGCCATATTCGTATCTTCAGAAGGTTATGGTGCATACGCTATGGACTTGAAAGGACATTGGAAGAAGCTTACCAAACCAGATAATCCCGCATTTCGAATTATTCATACGAAACAGAAACAAGGAAACGTTGTACAACTATTTGATTACGTTAAGCAGCACCTAGGAATTACGGATGAGATTGAAATGGTCTCTATGACTAAAGGATTTGTGTTGGCAACTGGAAATGCGTGCGCATTCTTCAGAGTTCCATGGGATTCAAACGAAGAGCACGTTTGGGACATTGCTCCGTTTGAATTGCTTGTTCGCGAGGCTGGAGGATTCGCGACAACAGGAACAGGAAAAGAAATTTTGTACAGACAAAATGCACGTGTTGAAGGTTCTTTGGACGGCCTTGTATTCACGAACAGAGACAAGGAATTCCATAACAAGGTAGTGGAAATACTACAGGAAGCTCTTGCAATGTTCAAATGGTATTAATTTGATTTTGAAACTTTTTTTTGTATATTTTCCTAAAAAAAATAATAATTAAGATATCATTTACCACTTTTTGACACACTCTCAAATCTTCTTTTTAATGTTTTAATGTTTCATTCTTATATTCCTCGTTTTTAGAGTGTTTCAGAAAGTTTACACGTTTGTTGAAACATTTTTTATGTATTCAAGTTGAATGGCAATTCAAATAAATATGAAAGAACATACACTATAACATATTGTAGTACAACGTAATGGAGTAGCATTGAAATCATAATACCTCAATTTTTATAAAATTTATACGAGATTATTAGAGATTTTATTTAACGTTTTTATTTAATGAATTATAATAAAGAAACCATTTATAATGTTGCTTTTTAAGTTGATGTTTTGCAAGTCACCGAAAAACTTTTTGACTCTGCCGAAATCGGAAGCTGGCATGTCAATAATCTCAAATTTGGGATATAGAGATCATTCTAATTGCTAATGGACGTGAATCATCATTGAAAATTAACATTAAGTATCATAATTAAAAGTAGAGTAATAACCCTTAATAATACAACATTTACAACAATGAATATGTAATTTTTAAATATGAATATAGTGAATAGATGAAGATTTCATTTTTATCGAATTATATTTCTTTACATTATTCACTATATGCGGCCAAAATGATCATTGAATTTTATTATTAATTTTTGATTAAAAAGATTATGAATATTTGCCTTGTTAGTCATATTAATTGCAGTTTTATATGTACTATTCTCTATAGAGATATTAATTCCTCTAAATTCTGAGAGAAGTTTTACGGCTACTGGATGATTTATATTGCATGCATCATGAAGAGGAGTATCTCCAAAACTATCTTGTGCATTAAAATCAATTCCATGTAATGTTAAAAGATATTTGACAACATCGATTGAATTATGATAACAAGCAAAATGGAGTGGTGTGCGTTGATTTGAATTTCTCGTATTAGGGTCAACACCACATGAAATAAGATCTTGAACAAGAGATAAATTATTAAACTCTGCTGCATAATGAATTATTGAACTATTATATATAGTTAATTTATGATATCCATTATCAACAGCATATTTGATTGAATAAAGATCATGTTCACGAGAACATTTTTCAAAAGTTTGAAAAATATTTGTGAAACATTTTGATTTCCAATATCTTTCAAAGAAATTTATATTTTCATATTGTGTTGAAATTTCATCAAATTGCTTGGTTTCTATTGTTTTGCTGTTTTTGTTATTCTTGAAATCGTTCGATGGTAACATTAATGTATCAAATAAACGAGTGAAGATTTCATCTATGCTTTGAATACTATCATGTGATTTAGTTTCTCTTTTTATAAGCATAGATAAAATCACAATAAAAATGAAAAGTATAAATGCAATTGTGAGATCCTTCGCTTCAGTCTATCAATCTATAAATAATATGAAAGTAAGATGAATCTCGGAATAATTTATAAATGACTCAGATTTTAAAAGAATAAAGACATTTAAAAGAATAAAGAAAAGAATCATTTGATTGAAAATGGAACATTATAATATTTTTGCACCATGTGAAAGAAGAATATTGGCTGTTTCTTCACAATCATGTTCTATTGCATAGTGCAGAGGCGTTTTCCCGACTTTATCTTTTATGCTGATATTCACACCATGCAAAATAAGAAATTCGGCTGCTTCTTCTCTGTTATTTACTGCGGCATAATGAAAAGCTGTTTTCCGTGCTGATCTTTATCATTGACGTTTTCACCATGTGAAAGAAGAAATTCAGTCATTTCTTTGATATTAATTTTAGCTGCAATATAAAGAGCCGTATTGCCATTTCTATCTTTGATACTTTTTCCATGTGAAATAAGAATTATGGCTCTAGTTATTTTAAATATTATGCAAGAACAATAAACATGTAAAAAATAATTTGATGGTTGTAAACTGAAAAACTAACATACTCTAAAGATTTTTTTAAAAAATTTCAAACATACATAACAAACAAAATAAAATCAATAAATTAAAAGAAAAAAAAATAAAATTATATTTGCATCTGATGCTGCAATCTTTTGATTTCTTGTCCAATAGCTACCATTGTGTTGTGTATTTCCATAAATCTTCGTAATTTTGCATCCCTCAAAAATTTGAAATTATTTGCTGGATTTTTCTCGGAAATAACAAACTCCTCGTACTCCTTTGACAAGAAAGGCATCGTATTAATACAAGTAAACAACTTTTCAACTAATATCTTATTTTCATCATCATTTTGACCGTTTTGGAGCCAGTAAGGCAGCATTTTGAAGAAATCCGAACATCCTAACATTATAAATGTATCAGGTGTCCTTGCCATAGCGTCCAAAAGGAAATCAACAATCATCCAAAGATTTTTAGTCGCAGATTCATTAACGAACATGATCTTGTAAAATCTCTCAACCAATTCAGGTAGATTTGGTAGTAAATCTATGTTCTTATGAATAATTAATGCTAATAATATATTGATAGAGTTCTCCATACCTGCGAATTGCTCGTAACAAACAAAATTACTTTCAGCAAGATCAAATAATAAATTGATTAATTCAATGGAAATTTCAATAGGAATTGGAATTTCTCTTTTATAAACAGAAATCCAGCCGGAAAGAACACTACAGTAAGCATCGTTGATCTCTTCGTATTTTCTATGTTGAAGATTATCTGATTCTATTTCTATCTTGTCAATTTCTTCTGAAAAAATTTTCATTGATTCTTGATAATACTTCAAAACAGGGGAATCATCCGGATTCCATGTGAAATACTTGAACAGAATTTCAAAACAATATATCCTGATGTTTGGAATCTCCATTCCTTCAATGATTTCTTTCAAACATTTTTCATCAAATTTTTTTGTAGAATATTCAGGAATTTTTCGTCCAATCTTCGTCATGCAGCTCGTGATCTCTGATATTGTTAGGGTAGAGAATAAATAATTGAAGTCATCATTAACGTCAATTTGGTATTCAACGTATTTTTGGCTCTGATCCAAGCAGAAATGATGAAATTGTAAAAATAAATTTAGAACAGAATCAAAAAGTTGTTTCAAAATCTCTAAATTTAGGTTATCAATCGAAATTACGGCATTTTTAAGGGAATTGAAGACAAAACGACAATCATTGTACTGATGACGTGATGTTACCCGGTCCATTTCGCTTTTTGAAGAGAAAAATTCAACAATTTTGGAAAATATTTCAATTTGTGCGTCATTATTCTCACAAAGAACGTTTTCGCATATGGAAATGGCTAAACAGAAGGCTTCGACGTTGATTTGTATCACAAAATGCTCATTTTTCAGTAATGAGAAACAAATTTCAATTAATTGCTCAACATAATCAATTAATCGCGTTCCTAGTAATGAGCATGTAATATTCATCGACTTCAGAGCCATGGTGTATCTTTCAATTGTTGTATTTTCGATATAATACCTTTGATTTCCTGAATCTTGCGGAACACAGTAGAATCCGCAGGTAATAAGCTCATCGTAGCACGAGCATTGAACAAATACAAGTTCTTCTGATAGAAGTGATAACAAATCAGAGATAATTTGGTCAGAATATTTACTAAAATTGGATCCAAGCATCTTCATGAGAATCTGAGCGTATGTTTGGAGTTTTGGAATTTGTTTCGGCGGTATCTGATCATTCGAAAGCAGTTCATGCGTTTTTTCAAAGAAATAACTTACAATTTCTTGGAATTCGTCTGAAAGTTCGTATTTATGAGCATACTGCTGCAACACTTTTGAAACGCCTTTGATTATACTGCACTTAATGCTTATATCTTCAAAATTTTCATCGACTTGGACATAAAAAGTGACAAAACCATTAAATTGGTCATCGAAATTTGGGTTTTTGAGGAAGATTGATGAGATACAGACAATGAGTTTTCTGATTGTCTTTATGTTATCTGCCTGCTCGATGAAAGATATCAAAATTTGTTGAATTTTGTCAAAATCAAGATTATTTTCGAGTAAATTATCGAAAATATTCTTGACACAGTCTATGGCAGGCCATCTGACCTCTTCTATCTCCTCGTTTTGTACGAATCCGAGTAAAATTTCAATTTGATCCAAAATATTTTCAGACATATGCGAAAATACCTTAAATATAGAATACCTTATACATGCATGCAAGTTTTGGTCGCTCAAAAGTGAGAAACAATACTCTGTTAACTGAGATCTGAAAGAAGTTGATAAATACGAGATGATTCTGAGGTGCATCTCGCTCATAAATATCAGTAGTCCATACAACAAATTCGGATTTGAGTTAAATATGTTGGAAAGTGTTGTTTCGAACAAATCTGATCTTCCTGCGTTTCCCATGACCTTTGTAATGGATTCTGGAACGGTCCTCGCGATTGCTGATGGGCTACAATCATTGATTGGTACATCAAATTGACAGTTTTCGTCGGCGTGGTTGATTAATAAAACTAATGTTTCAATAACTCGCTGTTGGAAGGGAATACATGCAGTAGACATAGCGGGTGAAGCCTCAAAAATGGTTTCAAGAGTATATAAACCTTGAATTTTGACTTGATCGTCACCATCTAAAATACTTGAGCAAATGAATGATACTAGCTCCTCAAAATTAGATTTAAAGAAGTCACATGATGTCTCACAGAAGTTGCAAAGTATTTTAAATGCCGCTGACAGAAAAGGAGGCTTAATTAAGGAAAAAATTAAATTTGTAAGCTCCAAAATCGTTTGATCTTCTGGTATTTTAGAGGCAACTGCGAAAAACAGTTTTATATCCGATAGTGTGTTGTTTGTATTGTTTTCTATAACAGAACGTAAAAATTCTATTTCAATTCCGCATAAATTATCACCGAGTGTAAATAATTCAGATAATATTGTTAGTATGAAAGATATTTGAATTGTTTGCTGCTCAAATAACGACTTAATGTATTCATAAACTACATTATTCGGATTTTTTTGATAATAATGTAATAATATATAGGCAACAATACTGCAAACCATATCCTTATGATTTTGTCCGATTGAATTTGACTGCAATAATAATGGAAAAGCAGTTTTGAATCTGTCCCAAAGTTCATATAGTATATCATCGCGGTCTATTATATTGTATCGCATGCAAATAGAATATAATAAAACAATACAATGCGCTTGCAGGTTTTGATACTTTTCTTCGATTGAAATATCTGATAAAAGACAAACAAATTCTAATGGGGATTGATCAAGTAAATAATTTCTTATTTCAATGTTTTGACGAACAATTGTATTATCATTTGAAGTACACCCGTGAAGAATTTGAGCTAAATCATCCATTAAAGTGAAGTTAATTCAAAAAATTCAATGAGCTGTCTCAATATGAATAATTTTTCATGATCTTCCATAAAATCAATAATTTCTCGATGAAGATATTGATTTGTGTCTCACATAGTTTGAATAACTTTGTTGCAACAGTGTCTAAGATGAATAATACCAAAATATAGTTTTGTATTTTCAATTTATAGTTTTCGTACTAAATGAAGCACAGCACCACCATTCTTATCAATCTTATTTGTCTTGACCAAGAGAAATAATAAGTCCTATAAAATTTTTCATCCTCAAGATTAATGTCCCCCGTTTGTTGCTAAAAAAAATCTGCCAGCTAAAAAAACGGTTATTATGAGGAGCATCTCAATACAGTTGCTTTTACTGGTACAAGAGTATGCTATAAACTGATCAGAAATAATCAAATTAGATCTCATTTAATTTATTTTCCGTATTTCATTTCAATTCCATTAATTTTTTCAATTGGAAACGGATATAATTTTAAACAATCATTAGGCAAATGATTTAATGTATTTCACACATTTCATGCTATTGCTGAACGATTTGGAGAAAATGTTTTTAAAAGTGTCAAACTGACAATGCTTTTCACATTTATTTCTCTCTGTAAGTCAGCGAATGAACAAGCCTGTTGGCGCAATACAACAGGTGAAGATATGTGCCCAGTATGCGTTTCAAGAACAGGAGCTAAATGCGGTTACTGTGCATGGACAAGTTCTTGTGATGCAGGTGATGAAAGCGGCCCATTCAAAACACAATGCGCTGAAGGATGGATCTTTCCAAAGACAACTTGTACTCATGAAATGTGTCTCAAATCAACAAGAGCAGATAAATGCAGGCATCCTTGCACTTGGAATAAGAGATTCAGTAAATGCGTTTTACCAAGAGATATGAAGAAAGATTCTGAAGCAGAAATTAAAGCAATGGAACGTAGAGATTTCGTAGCAAGATTAATTTACGCTTTAGTAGTTGTTTTCATTGCATTTGCTATTTTAGTATACTTATATGGATGCTATTACAACAGAAAACCGTTATATTCTCAAATTCCTGGAATGAATGAAGGAATTTCACTTGACGACTTACCAGCAGCATAATTATAACATGATATTGTTGCATACATATTATATCGATGTATTATCGATTATATTTATTCACAAATCTTATTATTGATTGTATTTTTTTATCTTTTATTTAGTATCTAACTTCTTCACTAGTGCTTTGCAATAAATTGTAATTTTATACTTCTTTTGCTAATGAAACACTATTTCTTAATGTTTATTTAGAAATTTATTTTATGAACTTTTGAGATGAATCTTTAAATAAAAAAATGATGAGAAAGGAAGTCTTTTCAATCACCTTGAATGGCTTTTCAAGTTAAATTCGAAAAAAATAAAGTCAAATACATGATTATCTTCAAATATAATTGAATAAATGGATTATATTATTGCTATTTATTTATATAACTGACGAACTATCATTGTATTTTACAGATTTTATTATTGAAATTTTAAATAATGAGTGTTTTTTGAAAATAATTATTAAATTAGTTATTAAAGTACTAAGCAAAGCCAATTACATTATCTTGCTCCTATCAATTAGGTGTCCAAAATAATAACGTTCATTTTTACTCTGAAATGATGAATGAAGAAGAGCTTCACGAACCAATGCCTTGCGTCATTAAAGAGTCTTTGCTGCAGATAGGCATTCGTGAAGGCTTAACAGATCTCGAGCGAGAAAGGCTCGATGATTCTCAGAAGCCGGGAAATGAAGGAAAATCTACAATGTCATTATCACCACCAGATATTAAAGTACTCCGATTATGTTTTATGTATATCCGTAGAATTGACAACCTCCAATGCTACACAGGACTTAAAGAATTGTATCTTGCAAATAATTGTATTACAAAAATAGAAAATTTAGCTGTTCTTACATCACTTACTAAACTTGACTTGTCATTTAATCAGATTAACGACGTTGATGATGAAGGTCATCCATTTAATCCGTTTGAAGGCCTTACACCTTTAGTTAATCTTGAAGAGCTTTCCATATTCAAGAACAAGATCACTAGACTTGACGAATTCCCAGAGTTGCCGAAGCTTAGATTCCTTTCTCTCGGCAGAAATAATATCTCCGAACTTAGTGAAGTACAGAACCTTTACAAAATCAAATCTCTCAGAATCCTTACCCTTGTTGGCAACCCAATTGCATCTAAGGATATCTGTAAGTTAACGGTTCTTGCTTACCTCCAAAACCTTCACTTTTTGGACTATGTACGTGTCACTAAGAACGATATCCAAGATGCTCGTGAACGTCTTTCAGATCAGCTCAATACATTGCAACAAGCTGAAGATACAGATAAACAGTACAAAGATCGCGCTCGCGCCGAAGAAGCACAGAAGAAGACACTCAGCGATGCATTCCTTATCAAAATTTCCGATCTTAATACCTCTCTTTTCAAGGGAGATAACGATTATCAAAAATTAAATACAATTCGCGAGCTTGGTGAGCCAACAGCCCTATTTACAGACGACATTACCAAAGCAACAAATGGATTTGTTGCCGATATCATCGCCCAAGCTCACTCCCTTAAGATGGAAGAAGAATTATTTAATTCCGCATACAAGAAAGTCACAGAAGAGAACCAATTACAGATGATCCAAGTTGTTAAGCGTCTCGACCGCAAGCGCCGCGCCTTCCTGATCGAAGCAAGTAAGGCCGAGACCATGAATGAAGAAGAAGCCCAATTAGAAGAAGACGAATCACAGAAAATCATGGACGAAATTACAAAAACAGAAGATGAGCTGCTTACAAGCGAGTTCGCTCTTGTCGACATGGTAGCGGAAATGATTAGAGCTTATGAACTCGAACTTGATGAAAGAATTAACGTAATTACAGAAAAAATTGCACTTTTCTTCGGTACTTTGAGGAACTTGAACAGCGAATACAACGAGAAAGTGAATGATATATGCATGAAGTTATGGGAGAGATTCAATCAGGGTGAAGCAGTCGAAGTTTCGGACGAAGTCAGATCAATTCTTGTAGATAAGGATGCAATGACATCCACTATACAGGCTTCTAATGAGCATAGAAATACAAAGATCTACAAGAGAGAAGAAGGTATAGGTAACGCTTACAAACAAAGAATTGATCAGATGATTTCGACAGCAAAGCAGAATGACTTAGAAAGAAATAGGAAGAGAGTAGCTGAAATTACAAAGTATATCCAAAATACAATTGAAGCAATCAAATCTGCTGATGGAGATGATTATGATCAAGAATAAGATTTTTTTTATTTATTTAGTTATTATTTTATTTTTATTTGATACTTTCTTATTAAAAGCACTTTTTATATTTTAATATTCTGAGTTCAATATAAAGAGGAAATAGATTTGAATTTATCATAACCACACACAACGAGATTGGTAAGACTAATAGATGAATCCAGCTAGTGAATATTCATCTATGATTTGAAGTTTTTTGTTGTTGAGCTATTGCTTATAAAATAACAACTCTGAGCCTTATAGAAATTGATTAGAGATGATTAGAAATGTTCTGAAATGAAGCCAGGACATGCAACAAACTTCTCATTCCTGGAAATATCCATTCTAGATTTTTTTTTTTATGAGTGATACTTTTCGTATTCTTCCTGTTCATCCAACAACATCAAATGCTTTCAAAGAGTGGTTTAAAGAATTCTCAAAAATCAGGTCATCATTAGCTCCAGTTGATCCATTCACTGGAGAATTTCATAAAATTGCTAATGCATTTAACGCTTTATCATTAGAGTTACAAAATGAAATTGCAGACAAGTCCGACAAAACAAAATCGTCTGTTTATGATAGACCTGATTACATAGTTCGTGAATTTTTAAGAACAAATAGCGTTATTTTAGTAATTTCATATATGAAATCACTAGCAGAAGCACTGTCATCAGGGAAGGCAAGGATTCTTAAAACAGGCATTATTAGCTATGATAATACAAATTTAGATGAAAAAATCTGCTCTGCTTTGCTTAGGGAAATACCTTCGACATTAGCATTTATTTTCTCAGCCAAAGAATCTGTTGCAATTACAAATATCGATGATCTTCTCAAAATTTGTGTTCAACTTCTCGATTATGCTATAGTTGATCCAAATCCATACATAAAAATTGAAGCAAACCAATACGATTTGTTCACTGGTATCATTTACGCCGTCAAATCTTGTATAGAAAACGTAAAAGATTTGAATGCATCTCTATTCTTTACATTGTTCCAAGATTTCAAGCTCATGAGGAAGTTTGTGGACGTTATTACAAAATCATTCGAGTGCCAGTTGCTTACTCTCACCACTGTTGCAACTCAGTGCTTAAACTTATATATCCAAGCATCCCAGGCCGAGCCTGACCTCAAAGAGAATGCAAAAGATGAAGAATTTAAGTCTGCTTTTAATAATATGATGGAAAAAGTTGTAAATCCACTCATTACAGCCGATAGAAGTAACAGATCAAAATTCAGATCAATAATGCATTATTCAAGATCAGTAAAATAAATGTAATGTGAATTTAAATAGTAAATATGTAATAATTTTTGAAATTTTAAATATTATCTTTTTTAGCATGCTTATTATATAGAATAATATATCAATTAAGGTTTTATTCAATGAAACTAAATCAAATTAAGTCAATCTACGTTACTTGTTTTACTTACCCTCCATTTACAGGAAAAATAGTCACTTTTTCCCCACCTTCTAAAAAGGCTTCTGTATTTTGACATATATAGACATTTTAAACGCCTTTTAAAAGAGGATATGATAGAATGGATGTTGATTTTTTTGATTTTTATAATATAGCATTTTTATGATATAAAGAGTGTAATTATGATTAAATTTCTGCTCAAAATCAAAAATTCACTAGCAAACAATACAGTTTTGACACTATTCACTCATATTGATTTGTAATTACAATATATTTATGCAATTAACCCTCAGGTATATGTTTATACGCATTAGATTTTAAAAAAATTAGTTAGATTTGCATATATTATTAATAATTCATGCTTAGAGCTTACAATGGAAGACATTTCTCTCCACTGTCAATCAAAAATATTTTGTTGGTGTAATACTATCCAAATCGAGTCTCTTCCTAAACATGTAGTGCATTTTTGGAAGACTGTATCCAGTGAATTCATGAATTCATGTGCAACTTCGCGAGGATGAATAGAATAAAACTCATCACATCTAACAAGTTCAAGTGCAAAAAAATGGATAAAAACAATTATTTTACTATCAATCCAAAAATCTCCTTCGAAAATACTAGAAAACAAATGGCTATCTTATGTAAGAACATTATTTTTTCGCACCATGTGAAATAAGAACTGCTGCTGTTTCTTTACTATTATTAAGCATTGCAAAATGAAGAGCGGTTTGTCCATTTTTAGTTTTTTCATTGATATTTACACCGTGTGAAATAAGAAATTCTGCAGTTTCTTTTCTATTTTTTTCTGCTGCAACATGAAGTGCGGTTTTTCCATATTCATCTTTTTCATTGATATTTGCACCATGTGAAATAAGAACTTCTGCAGTTTCTTTTCCATAATTCCGAGCTGCGATATGAAGAGCGGCTTGCCCATTTTTAGTTTTTTCATTGATATTTACACCGTGTGAAATAAGAAATTCTGCAGTTTCTTTTCTATTTTTTTCTGCTGCAACATGAAGTGCGGTTTTTCCATATTCATCTTTTTCATTGATATTTGCACCATGTGAAATAAGAACTTCTGCAGTTTCTTTTCCATAATTCCGAGCTGCGATATGAAGTGCAGTTTGTCCAAATTTATCTTTTTCATTGATATTTACACCATATAAAATAAGAAATTCTGTAGTTTCTTTTCTATTTTTTTCTGCTGCAACATGAAGTGCGGTTTTTCCATATTCATCTTTTTCATTGATATTTGCACCATGTGAAATAAGAACTTCTGCAGTTTCTTTATAACTAATTTCTGCTGCAGCATGAAGAGCGGCTTGCCCATTTTTAGTTTTTTCATTGATATTCGCACCGTGTGAAATAAGAAATTCTGCAGTTTCTTTTCTATTTTTTTCTGCTGCAACATGAAGTGCGGTTTTTCCATATTCACCTTTTTCAATGATATTCGCACCATGTGAAATAAGAACTTCTGCAGTTTCTTTTCCATAATTCCGAGCTGCGATATGAAGAGCGGCTTGCCCATTTTTAGTTTTTTCATTGATATTTACACCGTGTGAAATAAGAAATTCTGCAGTTTCTTTTCTATTTTTTTCTGCTGCAACATGAAGTGCGGTTTTTCCATATTCATCTTTTTCATTGATATTTGCACCATGTGAAATAAGAACTTCTGCAGTTTCTTTTCCATAATTCCGAGCTGCGATATGAAGTGCAGTTTGTCCAAATTTATCTTTTTCATTGATATTTACACCATATAAAATAAGAACTTCTGCAGTTTCTTTACTATTATAAATCGCTGCAATATGAAGAGTAGTTTTTCCATATTTATCTTTTTCATTGATATTCGCATCATGTGAAATAAGAAGTTCAGCAGTTTCTTTTCTATTATAAATCACTGCAATATGAAGAGTAGTTTCTCCATTTTCATCTTTTTCATTGATATTTGCACCATGTGAAAGGAAGTATTCCAAAAGGGATGGAGTATCAAATATCGCTGAATAAACGAAACATTTGCTTATATCATTAGTTTGATCGAAATAAATTAAAAAGGATTCAAGATTATTATAAAATCCACAAGCACCTAAGTCGATCTCTAAATTGTACTCATTCATCAAGAATGTAACAAAATCAATGTTGTGCGAAATATAGGGTGTCCAAAGGTGCGTTTAGCACAGCGCTCTATATGAGACTATTAAAGGAGATATATGCTGATTATAAATATATAATAAAAAATATGAATATATGTATATGATGAGTATGTTGTATTTTTGCGCCATGCCGGGATATAAAATGAATTTTGAGACAAGAGGCGGTTTCGCGGGAAATTTTGGCGGGATTTTTTTTCATTTTTTTAATGAATCATAAAGAAAACATCCTCGCTCTTGCAAAAAAATGCAAAGACTGTAAAAAAATCTACGAGACATTGGTAAAATGCTTCTGTATGGATGCTCCTAGCTATTCCACTGTAACGTATCATGTTAGGATGTATCACTTCATGAACAAAAAGGCGCCCATCATAAAAATTGACAAAAAATCGCCGGATCAAAGAAAAATCAAAGCAATTCTTCAAGCGCTAGATGAAGACCCAAGAGCATCACTCAGAAGGATAGAGGAGATGACAAAGATACCACGTACAACAGTCAGTTATTATCAGCACAATTATTTGAACTACAAACTAGCGTATACACGTTGGGTTCCGCACAACCTTAATTCAGTTCAAAAAAAATCTAGAGTCCAATCTTCGAAAGAGCTCCTCTCTATATTGCGTGCGTATCAATCCAAGAAGTTTCGCTTTTTAGTAACAGGGGACGAGTCTTGGTTTCAATATGCAACATAAGCCAAAATCATGTGGATCCCGAAGGATGAAAATCCGCAAACATTCCCGAAGAAAAAAATTGACACACCAATGATGATGTTGTCGGTTTTTTTGGGCGTGAATGGCATCATCGCAATTGATATTCTTCAAAAACCTAATACGATGAATGCTCAGTATCTAATTGACAATGTTCTTACTCAAATTATCAATTCTGATGAGTTTGAGAAATCCAAACAACAAAAACAAAAGTTTGCAATTCATTTTGATAATTCAAGAGTTCACAAAAGTCATAAGGTAATGAATTACTTGGTGGAAAACAATGTCAAAGTTGTTCCAAACCCAATTTATTCACCTGATATTGCACCCTCTGACTTTTATTTATTCGGCACGCTAAAAAAGAGAGCTGAAGGACGCGAATTCGCGAGTCCTGATGATCTTGAAAATTTTGTAAGAGAGCAATTTGAGCAATTTTCTCATGATGATTTAAAGCGTGTCTTTGAAGCCTGGATCGATCGCTGCGAACGCGTGATTGAATCCAATGGTGATTATATTTAAATAAACTTTATATATATGTAACTTGTTTATTTCTATTCGCAGTATTCAGGTTTGTGCTAAACACACCTTTGGACACCCTATAATTGCATATTCCATGCAATCTTCTTCTGGTTCCTGATATTTCAAACATTCACTCATGATCTCGGGATTTCCTCCTAAAAATGATAATGCTAGACATTCTTGAGTTGTTTCTGATTTAAATTTTGTTCTTAATAACTTGAAACAATCAACTGCTCCATGGTAACAACATAATTCAAGTAATGAATATCCATTATAAGAGTCTGGATATAATTTGCTTTTAAGTGTTTGGTCTTTATTAAATCCTTCTTGTTCAGTGAATGAGATGAATGTTTCTGAGTCATTATACATAATTGCTCTGCAAATTGTCTTTTCTGTATGAATGTCCAGATTTGTTGAGCTAAATTGTTCAAAATTAGCTGATTTGTCTAATTTAATTCCATATTCTTTATAAAACAGGAAGCCTGGAAAAGTTGCAACACTGCTGACCTCTGTGATATGGTAATCATCAGATATGAGTTTGGCAAGAAATAAATATGGCTTTGTATAGCGATTATTATACGGAACGATACCTAAAATGTCTTTAATAACATTTGTGCAGAGATATTTCTTTGAATCAATCAAATCTGTTTTGATCATTTTGTAAATTGACTTTAATTCTCCTTCGTTTTCCGTTTTTAGCCGATACAATGCAAGATACGAATCGATATAGTATTTGCAACTGCTTCGCAGTTTGTTGTATTTGCTTGGATGAACGTCATGCTCAGACATTAATAATTTTTCTAAAGACAAATTTGCATTTTACCATATATTTTATCTCTTAAATTCAGTAGAAGAAAAAATACTAAGTTATTCATGTAGAAAACAATGACCATAAAGATTTTGAATCTAAATTATGAATTATGAATTTTGATTAAGTACATGGATATGAAATGATGCATCAACTTTTAAAAGCTGATGAAGATCGAATTTTTACCAAGATATATTTGTATTATTCAAGATTTTTTTTGACAAGACTGTAATGTAATCTCATTTGAGTTTTATGAATCTAGAGATTAAATAAATTGGCGTAATGCAGCAGCTTGTAATAACTATTCAATTTTAAGAAAAATTATAAAAATAAAAAATATAATATATGTGAATTGAGCATCGACGCTATGCGCCATTCCACCATTTCTTGACTTACGTGCCAAGAATGCAAGCTTGAGAAATTTGATACTTCGTTTAAAACAAGTCTGTTATGATTGAATATGCAAGATCAGAACAGAAATTCGATGCTCCTGACCTTTCTATTACTTCTGAAAGTTTAAAAAGATGAAACATTCTCAAATAATAAATATATAAAGTAATTCAATTTTGCAATATTTATAGTAATGAAACCTGAGGCAATGTGTATTAGATTTCAATTTAGATATTACGTATACAAAATAAGACTAGAATTTAATTTTGAAGAAATTTTTATCATTCTAAAAAAAATAAAGGATGACAATATCCATAATTCTAACAATATAATACAAATTAATGATCATAAATCATCTTCTGGAGTTTTTGCCAAAATTGATGGTTCTCTGGTAAAACTTCTGAAAGAGGAATAGAAAGATTAGAAGCATCGAATTTCTGTTCTGATCTTGCATATGATACGCGAAGTCCGTGATAATTTTGTTCAACTGATTTCAAGAAATGAAATGCATCTTTTGCATCTTTCGTTGTATCGAACTCTATAAAGGTAAATTGCTTTCTTGTTGAGATCCTGCGAACGAAACCGTGCGGGGCAACTAGTCTGTAGAGATCTCTTTCACTTAAATGTGCTTCATCAATTCCAGCGATGTGGAGTGTTTTTACGTAGTTTGTTGGCTTTGTATTATTTGGTGGTCTCGCCCAAAGTGGGACGCCTTTGTATAATGTGCCTGCATATTTTTTAACAAAAGCATCAACTTCTGCTTGAGTTTCGAAACGAATAAGGCCACAGTGAGATAAAAATGATATTTCTGAGAATTGCAATCCTTGTTCGGTGAAGAAATTTCTGAATTCTTCAACAGTTGAGTTATTTATTGGGCCAAAATTTGCTGAAAGTGATCTTTTTTGCTCGTTTGAAATCTCTTCATTTTCCTTAGCATCAATATTCATATTTTGATCGTTTTCTGTATCACTAACGTTATTATTTATGTTTGGATTGTTAATTTCAGACATTTTATTGTCACTTTTCTGGCTCTTGAAAATTATAACACAAAAAGAGTTTAATATTTGTGATATAAAACAACTGAGATTGATTTTTCAACCTTCTTAAAACAAAATTCTCATAAAAAGCTAAAACCGATTCTTTGATATGAATACAGACATATATGGGTATCATGGCTATTAGATTATAATTATATCATACTCGGACATCATATTTATGATATTTTGTGCAATTTGCAAGATTTTATGAGCAATTTTAGTAAATGTTCTGGAGTGTAAAGTTTTGTTAGTATTCAATGGTTTTAAAAATTGTTTCTCCAAATTGCAAATCACTGAAAATTCGCTAACACAGCCTATTTTACTTGATCTTGGCATAATCATTCATAAATGCACATATGGCAAATAGTTACTATATGTTTATAACCTTATTACCCATATGCAATTAAATTAGAAGTAGAAGATAGTATTGTTGATAACCTTATTACGCATATGGAATTAAATTAGAAGCAGAAGATAGTATTTATATAGTGTCATAATTTTTTATAATTCTTTTAAAACAAACAAGTTTATTTCTGACAAATGATTTTGGCCAATTCCTGTAATTCTGGTTTTCGACTATTTGTGATTTTTGCTTTTGCGAAATTGGTAACTATGGCTCCATGTTCCAGAAGAAATCCAATTAACTTCATTGGTATATAATAACCGTTCAATAATATATCAAGTGGTGTCATTTTATCATAATTGCGTTGATTGATATCCCACGAATGATCAAGCATTAATCGGAATATTTTTAGATACTCGTCTTCATTTTCTGATGTAATTTTAAATGTTGAATAACATAACCCTATTTTAGAATTTTCGTCAACAGCATTGGGATTTATACCCAATTTAAAGAATTCTTTAGCAACTTCTGCGTCTCCCCACTCACAAATCCAATGAATTGGCCCTCTTACGAAATTAATATTAATTAATTCGGATTTATTCACACGCTTTAGTAATTCGAATAATATTTGCTTCTGGGTGAGAAAGCATGCAAGAAATATTGGATTATCCGGTTGTAAAATTGAAATTTCGAAATTTTCATCATCTTGGTTTAATAATAGTTTAACAGCTTCGATATTATGAAATATAATTGCGGACATTAGTGGTGATCCAGAGAAAGATGTAGAATTATTCGTATTTAATCCTGATAAAATTATTTTTAAGCATTCTGTGTATTTTTTACCGATAGCTCTCTCTATTGCATTATTAATAGACTCTTTGTTCGCCTTATAGACTTTATTTATTGCATATCCGTATTTTTTAACTAAAATGTTCAAAATTTCGTAAGCTCCTGCATTTGTGCACATATTGCAAAGAGTTATGCCAGCTTGTTGTAGTTTATAATCAGCTTCAATAATGTTTTGTAACGTTTTTAAACGGCATTTGTTATTGTAGTAATAAAATAGATAAGTAGCTACTTCTAATGAATTACAAATACAACAATAGTGGAATGGAGCGTATTCTTTAGTTAGATCTATTTCATATTCATTTAATATGTAAATAAAACACTCTAATGAATTGTAAATTGCAGCAATATCTATGAGCTTAAGTTTTTTGATTAAACACGATTTCTTATTATAAAAATTGAGAAATATTTCGTCATTAATTGAAATTTCATGAAAATCGTTGTAATTTTGACCTTTCATATACTCTATGAGTGATGTAACATCATTTTCTGCTATAGCTTTAACAATACTTTCCATTAAATTTTTTTCCATTGTTAGTGGAAAAAAAAAGTGGCAGAATTTTTAGAGATTTTAGATTGTACTTATTTCCTTAAAGCAGCATAATCTAAAACAGCAAGACCGAATAAAAACTCACATTTTCTATCAAATTATTAACTTTTTTGATGAATTTACGATTTTTTGGAGTTGGAAGCAATAATTAGTACAATTATTAGCGTTTCAATATATTAGAACGAAATAATTGGATCTAACAACTGATATATAGATGTCTGAAAGTAAAATAAATGAAACAAAACTTTGAAAAAGAAATAAGTTTAAGTTAACAATAAAGAATAACAAGTAAGTATAAATTGATGGTATTATTCGTTCTTAGCTTTAATGTGCTGCAGTATCCAATCACGACCTGAAATAATTCCATCGCCTGAAACTGCAGAGCACTCTTTAATAGCGTATTCGACATGGTATTGGGATATTTGCGTGATCGAGCTTATGTCATTTTCATTTAGTGTTTTATCTAAATCACATTTGTTGGCTAATATTAAAATTGGAATTGAGAGATTGGCACATTCAGTTAATACTTCCGAAATTTCTTCTCTTACTCTACTCATTCTTGTATGATCTGATTTATCGATAACAAATACAACACCATCGCATTGTTTAATGATTTGAAGCCATAATTCACGATATTTTCCAAGTCCACCTACATCAAAAAGACGTAGATCGTATTCGGGGATTTCGTAATACTCGGATGCTGGTGTTGAAATTGGAATGTAATCTGTTGAATCACCATGAAGAATTCTATGTACAATATGGGATTTTCCTGAACCATCTAAGCCTAAAAAACACACTGTTGATGCTTTTACAGTTGTTCCTTCTATAGAAGAATGACAACCCATTTTTTTATAAATTTTGCAACGGAATTCAAAAGTGACAAAAATGAAATCTTTATGATGATTTCTTTTGTTTTTAGCTATGAACTCTGTTCCAAATATATAATACTGTTTTTTCGAAGATATCCATTCATTTTTCATTTTGTTATTTCACATTTAGGATCTATTGCCTGAATCGGCAAACCCAAATTTTAGCTAAAAGTGACAGGGGAAAAAAACGTTTAGTATTAAAAAAAAAGACCGATGAGAGCTTCGTTCGAAATATAGAGGGAACTGAGAATGCGCAACCATTCTCAGGGAATATTGGATGCTATTCCCGTTCCCTCTGTATGGAAAATTGAGGTTTTCAAAGGGAGTTAAAATAATATCAAATTTATACTAATTTACTTCAAAATACAAAAGTATTTGACAGCTAAAATTAGTTACTTTAGCAAGCCTATCAATACCCTTTTACGATTATTGTTACTTTTTCGAAATAAAAGTAAAAACAAATTTATACTAATTTACTTCAAAATACAAAAGTATTTGACAGCTAAAATTAGTTACTTTAGCAAGCCTATCAATACCCTTTTACGATTATTGCTATTTTTTCGAAATAAAATAAATTTATTATCAAAAACCTTTTTTTTCTTAGTAAAAATAAACGAAATTTTTTACCTTATGAACTTTTGTTGGAAATATGCAAATTTAAAATAATAAAGAAAGCCGCGAGCGAAGCGATCGGCTTAGTTCGAAGATTTTGATTCAAATCTTTGCTGATCTGTAATTCGCGGAAGCCGCGAGCGAATCGAGCGGCTTGGGTCTAAGATTTTGATTCAAATCTTTGCTTATATTCCTTAAATTCTTTATGAAACTCGCAACAGTTCCATAAAAAATTTTAAATTCTAAACTGTCGAAATTACCGATCGGTAATCACACCCTTCACGGGTGTGTCACTTTTAACAGGCGTGTCACTTTTAGCTAAAATTACCCCTACTCGCCTGAATCTATCTAATGATGACGAAGGATTTTATTGTCCTATTTAAGACATTGATCTAACAGAGCAGGATAGCATGTGAAGACAAATTCATATTAATTATTGCTTCGCTCTGCCTTCTTGCTTTGATTTCATTACCTTGTTTGATGTAATTAACATGATCAATCGCCATGGCCAAGCACCCAATGGGTATCTCGAAAATTATTAGCAGGAATACTTTTCAATGTTATATGGTTTATACACTCGAATGTATTATCTTAAAAATGTTATTTTCTCTATTTAAGAAAATAAAAGATCATTTTTACTTAAAAAAGAGCATGAAATTTATTAGATTCTGTGGAAATCACGGACAAGTTGCATAACATGGTTGTTAAGCTTATCATTTGCAATAAATTCTTCAAGCTTGTAGATACCGATAACGCCTCTTGTGGTTTGGATCAGCTGGAATGTTGATTCTTTCAACTTCAGCAGACTGATGTCTCAACTCTGGGAGGATTGAAGTGATATCCTGAAGAAGGAAGATGGACCACATTGAGTTGGACCATATGTTCTTCTTGAGAATATCTTCTTGAACTTCTGGAGAAAGTGTTTCTAGGCAAGCATCATGTCAAAGGAAAATATTATACCAGAAGTTTTCTCTTGTAGATTTTATCTCCTCCTACTATCCACGAAGTGATGGGCAAGCGACTGAAAGATATCCGAATTTGTGGAAATCATAGAAATCTTCTTCTGGAATCTATGACATTCTCTGGACATGAAGAGAAAGGATGGCTGATTCATCAATAGCTCTCATGATACCTGCTGCGATTTGACCAAGATCTTCACCACAGATGTGCATCTTTGTTGCATTCATGAGAACACTGAGCTTTGGTTGAGCCTTTTGTACCCAAAGATTTGTCAATCTCTCGTAGAAGAACTTGTGAGCTTCTTCCTTAACACGTTGCTTGAGTCCTTCATCGAGTTCATTCCATGATGATGAAACGTAAACAACTGGTCCTTCCTGTGTGGCTTGGACGTGATCTTTGAGGACTTCAGTTCTCATGAGGTAGAATCCTTTTCTCTCTGGATCTTCGATGAGAACGTTGTTGCAACTTTAACTTTTTTCTTTGGATGTTTTTGATTTTCGTGGAGGAGTAGATTTTGTAAATGGATCATCTATATCGCATATTATAATAATTTTATTCTTTTTCTTCGGTTTTTGTAATGTCTCATGGCTAATTGGATCAAATTTTTTTATACTGGCTTGGAAGAGTAATTAATTGGTAAAGATGTAATTACATCATTGCCTTGTAGTAAGGCATATTCTGATTTTGTCTCATTTTCTTCGAATTTGTAGAATCATCTGATTTAGAATTAATTTCTATGTTCTTTCCATCATTTTTGGATGTTATGACACATTCTTCAGTTATGCATTTGTTTAACAAATCCTTTGGAAGTTTGCAATATGGAATTAACATCGAAAGTTTACGAAGTTTGATTAAAACTATTAATTATCTTTTTTCTTTTTGATTAAATTCAGTATGCACGCTTGTCGTGGTTTGAAATTGCTAACAATTCATGTTTTTAGTAAATATCTCCAAATCTCTTTTTATGCAACTTTTTACTGCTCATTCATTGATCATAAACATTGTCTAGGGGCTAAAATTCAACACTTAGCACTAACATGTGCAAAATTCTTGTAAAAGATTCTCTCAAATGAGTTATATATAATTTATAAATTTCCTCAAAACCAAAAAAAATAATGTTAGTTAATTAAAATATTTTAATTAAACTTCATTTGAATCTTTGTCTAATTGAATCTCTCAGATTTCTGATTGAATCTCTTCGATTTCTTCTGCGTCATTTTTACTTTCATTTTTATTATTTTGTCTTCGCTTATAAAGAATGAATAACGCGACTGCAACTCCAACAACCACAAGTATTGCAATGATGACCCCAGCAACAATACCACCAGTATTACTTTTTCCTCCATTTCCTCCATTAGAATCATCGCCATCACTTGGAGACCCTTGAGGTTTATCATTGTTATTGCTGGGTTCTGGACCAGTACCTGGTTTTGGATCTGTTCCAGGTTCTGGATCAGTACCTGGTGATGCACCTGTTTCTTTAGTTGGATCTGTTCCAGGTTCTGGATCTGTTCCTGGTTTTGGATCTGTTCCTGGTGATGCACCTGTTTCTTTAGTTGGATCTGTTCCAGGTTCTGGATCTGTTCCTGGTGATGCACTTGTTTCTTTAGTTGGATCTGTTCCAGGTTCTGGATCTGTTCCTGGTTTTGGATCTGTTCCTGGTGATGCACCTGTTTCTTTAGTTGGATCTGTCCCGGGTTCTGGATCTGTTCCTGGTTTTGGATCTGTTCCTGGTTTTGGATCTGTTCCAGGTTCTGGATCTGTTCCAGGTTCTGGATCTGTTCCAGGTTCTGGATCTGTGTTATCTGGCTGTGGAAGATCGGAATCTATTGCTGTATAAACATTATCATCCAATCCAAATGCATTGCCTAAATCATTTGAAGAATGAAGTTTCTTAGAACTTGATTGGTCAATAACTTTGAAATCGCTCTTTGGGAATTTAACAGAAATTGTATCATCATTGTTATCTCCATATACAATGTTTTCAATTTTTCCTGAGGATGTAAGTTCTAAATTAAAGAGACTTGGAAATTCTTCAATGTGTTCTGAAACAAACTTTTGTGAGATTGGCAAATACACAGATCCTATTGATGCTTTGAAGACGTAATGTGTTGCTGTGGATTCAAATCTGATATTTAATGGATTTACTCCTTTAGGGATTTCAACTTTCTCAATATCTCCTGTCCAAGTCTTGAAGAAGTAAATTTTGCTGACCTTGTAAAAAATCTCCTTCTTTGTGTTAATGGAGAATGAATCTTCAATATTTATTGGTGAAATACCTTGTGAATTACTATATTTCAACATAACTGGATTATTTGTGTTAAATGTGATTTCGTTAGCACAATCTACTCCTGATAAGGTTGTGCATTTAGGATAAATTGTGTATGAACGATGACCTCTTAGATATGTTATATTATCTTTTGGAAGAATTTCTCTTATTGTATTATCTGTATGATCATAAACAATCGTTGGAACGGAGTTAACTTTAATTGGGATTTCACCTGAATAAATTGTGTTTGTGAGATCTATATAGATAGGTTTGTCATTAGAATCTACGAATGTATATCTTACATTAATTGCCTGGAATCTTTCACTACTTCCAAATTGATGTTCTGTTAAAATAAGTTTTGTAGGAAGATCTACACCTTCAACGGTTGACGAAATTGCAACAACTTCTTTATTTGGAAGATAACCAGATTCTGTAAGGAAGACATAATATGATTTCAGTTCGCCAATAAATGCTGTTGGGCAGGATGGATCATTTCCTGTATATATATTTGATGGATTGTAATATTCTTTTCCAGGAATTTGCATTACTGGTTTGTGATATAAAGATGCATAATAAGTTGAAGAAGACTTACTTGTACGGACCAAAATCATATCATTTAACCAAACAGCATTTGATGGAATTAAATACACATGAGTTGCTAAAACCTTATGCTCAATTTGCGGAACACTGTTTACTAAGAATAAGAATAAATATTGATTTCTTACATTTTGAGATGTAAATGGAATTTTGATAGAAAAGTATCTCGCATTTTGATCTGTTCCAATACTTGATTTGCTTATCCTATTGACATAGAAAGACTTTCCGCTCAGTTTCTTTAATTCGAAAAGAACAGTCGGAATATAAGTATTATAGTCTGTTGTTTGGAAAATCAGAGATGGAATATAATTTTCAACATTGAAATAAGTGTCATATGAAGTATTACCAGGACTCGATGCTGTAGACTTTGTTATATCCATATTGAATTTATACAGACGAATTTTAGAATCGAATATTACTGATTCTGTAATTAGAACGTTTGAAGTTGATGAAGAAATATATGCATATTGAGATGAAATTCCTAATTGACTAGCAGAATATGTATTTCCATTTTGAGCATTTGAATATTTTGGAACAAAGAGACCATCTAAGAGTTCATGATTTTGGATAAATCCATAATGTATATTATTCTTCAATGCATAACTTGAATGAGATACAATTCTGTTTATTGATAGTCTTTTATATAGTGAACTAGGTTTTTCAAATATTGTTTTCCTTAAAATTGTTCCATCTGAAGCATCTAACAAATATGAAAAAGTACCTAGTAGGAATTTCTTCTTTGTTTCCCATAAATACCAAGTAACATATTTATTATTTGTATTTGTTTGGAACATCAAGTATTGATCTGAATTTTTCTTTGTATACAAATAACCTAATTTAATTTTTGTAGCGCCCTTTGTCTCTAACTTGACATTATATTGATCATGAGTGATAAATAATCTGGTAGATTCGCCATGATATTCTGTTGATTCACCGTATGTACCAGTGAAAGGAATTGTTACAGGATCCATATCTACGTTAGAATATGATAGGCAATATACTTTAAATTTGATGTTACCTGATAGATCTGAAACAAAAAACTTTGGTAATTCTGTATAGCTATTTGGTAATTCTTGTTCCGGATATACTTTTGATTTGATGATATCATCGTTAGCAACAACTGATATACAAAATGTTTTTTTATATTTTGTATTTAGGTTTTGGACCTTAGGAACGATCAATAATGATGTCAAGGGAGTTTGGTAGATAGCTGTTGAATCACCTTCTCTCATGTCATCAAATTTGATTAAACATGATTCATATGATGGGAAGGTATATAGTAGCTTTGGATCACTTGTAAAATCTTTAAGTTTAATGACCTTATAATAATATTTCCATGATAATTTCACACTATCTATTGTTAAATAAATATATGGGAAGGAGCATTGAGACTTTTTAATTGTAAATTCAAGAGGAATATCCGCAACAAGACTCACAGTTGATTTGGCAACATCCTTTTTTACTACTTGAATGGAGATTCCAATTCCAATTGTAAATGCTAATGGAATATCTAATGCAAATCCTTCAATGTTTGTGAGTGAAGAGAAATCTGATTTGTCCACATAAGGAACGATTTTGTACGATTGTGGTCCATTAACAAATCCTTTTGAACCAAATTCAAATGACTTTTGATAATAAAACGTATATTTCCTAATATATTTATATTCTGATGGTAACGTTAAGATTACATTCTCACAACTTATATCCAGATTTAATGTAACAGGGATCGAAATTGGTATACCAGTCAACATGAACGTAAATTCGTATAAATTCTTTTCTTTTGATAAGATTGTGAATCCTGGGAATTTTATTTGCTTATTTAAAAGAAATTCGATACCAGCAGTGGCCTCTAGATTAACATCTGCTTTACATGTGTAATAAGAAAACATTTTTTGTTCCGCGACAATTGAAATTGTGAGTAAGGCATAAGCACCTGCATTGAGTGAAACTCCATCTGCTTTAGATAAAGTCTTGGATACACGTTTCGCCCATATTCTACTTTCAGGATCGGTATTTGAATTTGAAAGTTTTTCCAATACTTTATTGATTATATTAAATGTTGGATGACCATTTAAATAGGAACCATCTTCTGGACTCCATTCAAAAGCAATAGGAACGTTTTGTGTATGTGATAATCTATTACTTGCCTTCAAATAGAATTGTGAAAACATATCTGTTGAGTTGATTTTCTTTGTTTCGTAAACATACACACTATTTGATGTCTCAAGAAGCCTAATTATTTTGTAAAACTTATGAGTTGAAGAATTGTGAAAGACAATATTAGAAAAATCTTTGTTATCAATTTGATCAAGGGCTAGAACTGATTTTGCTCTTGCAAATCCTTTGATCGTTCTTGTAGTTTCATTCATTACATCATAGGCTAGAGTGATGTTTCCTTCTGGAATAGTATATTGACCTGCAGTGATGACATCATTGAGTCTTTCATGTAGTTTTCTGGACTTGGAGCTTGCCTGAGCCATGTTTATCAAATTCTGATATTTGCTCAATGATGTGGATGAGCACAGTAGGAAAGAAAGCATGTTTAAAAATGTTTCTTATTTTCAGATACTTTTGAAATTTGAATTTCCGAAAACATCTCAATTTTTAAATTTAAAAAGCATAAAAATATCAATCTTTATTCACTATTTCAATATAATTTTTCATTATTATTTTGAATACTTCACCAAAAATTGAGGGGTGATAGAAAAAATGAAAATAACTTCACATTTTTGACTAATCAATTCAAATTTTTTGGGTCCCATTTTTTCCCTGGCCTTTCTCAAGATTGATCAACTTAATTTTGTAGCTTGGCTACGGCCAAACTTCAAACAATTTCTTTAATCGTTAAAAGCTCTGAAAATTTGAATGCTTGCAAACGATTTTTTTTGACTTGAGTAAAAGGGTTATCAACCGAAGATTTATCTATATTTTGCGAAATAGGTAAAAAAATAGGTTGGTACTGTTGTAAACAGAAATTCATCAAAAGTGACACCTCAGAAAAGCTAAAATATTGAATTTTTGGAACTTTTGATAGAGCATGTTTTTAAATATTAATTAAAGTAAATGTATATTTTGTAAAGATTCTTTTTAATAAAAAATAAAATTTTGAAGAAGAACACAAAATCTTCTGAAAAATAATATCACATAAACTCATATTATTTTCTAATATATAACTATTTTATATAAAAATCAAATTCAATGATCTTAAAAGCGAAGGATAAACCTCAAAATTTACGAATATAATGAGTGGGAATATAATGCTTATCTATCATAAAACCATATGAAATATCAATTTTTGCTTTACGCCTAATTTTTGACGACAATTAGCAAAAAATGTTAAATGTTAACACTCAGTCCATTTGAATATGAAAAATAAAATTGACTTTGATTAAATGTTTTTATTTATCATGCAATTCTTCTTGCGACCAAAGATTTGAATAAAAGTTCAAAAAATAAGATAGCTTAAAAAATAATATACGGTAGTGTTTACTAATAGATGAATAGTATATAAATTCTATTAAAATGGATTTGATCCAAAAAAATATAAAACCAAAAATAATTGTTATAATTTAAATGAAGAAGTAATTTAAAACGATTTGATTTATGATCAAATTTTATATATTTTTTTGGATCAAATCCATTTTAATAGAATTTATATACTATTCATCTATTAGTAAACACTACCGTATATTATTTTTTAAGCTATCTTATTTTTTGAAATTTTATTCAAATCTTTGGTCGCAAGAAGAATTGCATGATAAATAAAAACATTTAATCAAAGTCAATTTTATTTTTCATATTCAAATGGACTGAGTGTTAACATTTAACATTTTTTGCTAATTGTCGTCAAAAATTAGGCGTAAAGCAAAAATTGATATTTCATATGGTTTTATGATAGATAAGCATTATATTCCCACTCATTATATTCGTAAATTTTGAGGTTTATCCTTAGTAGTATATGAGTGCGGGTTTAGTGACTTTTTTTGTTACATCTATATATAGACGATGCATTAAAATATATTTATTTATAAATCATTAAAAATTAACATTAATTTTAAAGGATTTAGTGACTTTTTTTTGTTACATCTATATATAGACGATGCATTAAAATATTAATTTATAAACACATTTAAAAAATTAACATTAATTTTAAAATAATTTATTTTTTATTTTTTTATAAAAGAAGCTATATATAGATGATGTCAGATATTCCGCGATTAATTAAACATTGTTTAAATCCTGAATGGGTTAAACTTCAATTTAAAAATGAAGATTGTGAATTATTAAATGAATATGAAAGCCAAAATAAGCTAATGAGGTATAAATATAATGATAAAGAATATTTAATTTCATGGAATCAATGGAGTCATAATCAAAGACCTCATAAACGAGAAGAAGAAATTGAAAATAATGAAATGGAAATCATTGATGACATTAA